AATTATTTCGTCTGACGCGGAGCGTTGGTACTCGGGGACGTGGATCCGGTCCACGTCACTCAGGTCCGCTGGTGTTTCCTCCTGCGGGTTTCTCGACAATAAGTCGGGTAACTCGTTGTGTCTTCCCGGGCAGTGCTCTATTCTGAAGTTGAACTCCTGCAGCAAGAGCGCCCATCGTGTCAGCTTGTCCTTCGTGTTCTTGAAACGGTGTAGCCATGTAATCGTCCTGTTATCGGTACGCAGGACGAAATGCCTGTCCTCGAGGTACGGCCTGAACCGCTTGACGGCCCATACCACCGCGAGGCATTCCTGCTCGTTGCAGTGATAACGGCTCTCCGTTGTCGAAAATTTCGCGCTTGCGTACGCGATGATGCGGCGGTCCTCGCTCTCTTCTCCTTGCTGATACAAAACGGCGCCCATGCCTCTCGCGCTGGCGTCCGTCTGCAACACGAACGTCATGTCCGAACGTGGCCGAGCGAGCCTCAAAGGTTGTTCAAACGCCGCCTTGACGTTTTCGAACGCCGCCTGCGCCGCCTTCGTCCAAACGAATCCCCTTGCGGCCCTCATGAGGTCGGTGAGTGGTGCCATTTTCACTGCAAGCTCGGGTACGTATTCTCTGAGCCAGTTGCAAGCTCCGACGAATGATTGCAGCTCTTTTTTAGACCTTGGCGGCGGCGTGTCGATGATTGCCTGTGCGTAGCTGGGCTTCACTTCGTTGCCTTCGGCATTGACGATAAATCCGAGGTACTCGATGTTTCGTGTGCCGAGGTGTATTTTCTCTGTGGCGCATTTGAGCTTGTGAATACTCAGTCGTTCGAGCACTCTTGTGAGGTGGTGAATGTGCTCCTCCCAGCTTTTCGAGTACACCACGATGTCGTCGAGGTAAACCAGGCAAAACTTGTTCAGGTACCCCGCCAGTACCTCCTGCGACATCAGCTTCTGGAACGTCCCAGCCGCACCCTGAAGGCCGAAAGGCATGAAGCGGAACTGGTATGTTCCTCCCGTTGGTGTCGTAAAAGCGGTGTACGGCTTCGAGCTTTTTTCCATCGGGATCTGCCAGTATCCACTCTTCAGGTCCAACGTCGAGAAAATCGTCGCGTCTCCCAGGTCCTTCAGAGAGTCAGAGATCAAGGGTATTTGTTGGGCTTGGTCGATGGATATCTCGTTTAATTGGCGATAATCGACGCAGAAACGAAGCTTTCCTCCTTTCTTTTTTGCCATAACGATAGGTGAGTTGTACGGCGAGTCACTCGGCTCGATGATCCCGCTGGCGAGCATCTCTTGGACCTGGCGTTCGATCTCTTTCCGTGTCTCCTCGCTATACCGATAGGGTGACTTGCGGAAAGGTTTATCTGTCGATAGCCGTATTACGTGCTGTGCACTGTTCGTGCCTTCTCCTAGTCCATCAGGGGCTAGCACGTGACGGAACTCCATCAGTAGTTGCTTCACTTCTTCCTCGTACTCTTCCGGAAATCCGTGACTCGGCAACGTCGTGTGTGACTCGAAATCCGGTTTGCGGTCTATCAGCGCGGCTGTAGTACGTCGATCGCGTCCGACGTGTAGTACTCGGCGGCGGAAATCCAGGATGGCTTCCTCTTGCTCCACAAAAGGAATCCCTAGAACCAGCTGGTGTCGGTTCCGTGGTGTTATAAATACTTCTATTTCGAACTCCTGACTGTTGATGCGGATCTTGAGTCTCGCTTTACCGATGATGTCTGCTCGCGCCTCGATTATCGCCAACTCGGCGTACGTGTACTCAGTCGGTAGGCGTTCTTGCTCCGGTACGAGCTCTGGACTTGCGAAATTGTGTGTCGCTCCCGAGTCTACAGCCGCTCTTACCTCCTCTCCTTTGCAGGCGACTCGGATTGTCGGTAGTCTGCCTCCTCGAACGTTAAAATTATTTACTTGTGGTCGGCGGAAGGCTTCGTGACGTCTTCCGCCTTCCTCCAGTTTTCCTGGTCTCTTCTGGGGCTCTCTGGGCGATTCGGGCAATCGCGGTTCATGTGTCGGCCGTTACAGTGCCAACACTTCGGCAGCTGCGGTCTGCCGCTCGACGTTGACGGCCTCGGAGTGGCCGCTGCTCGCTCCTCTTCCTCGTCGCGTTCGACATCTAGGGCGGTGGTGAAAAGCGTAGGGTAATCGGTGACGTGGTAGGCCTTTATTGTTTTCCGCAGGCTTGGCTTTAGTAGGCCGATGAGCGTGTTTACTTTTTCTTGTTCGGTGTCACCTTTCCTCAATCGCTGGTATAACAGGTACTTTTTCTGTAGGAAAGTGGTCACGCTTTCGTCCGGCTCTTGCTTCTCGCCGTATAATTTTGCGAGTAAGGTAGTGCGGTTGTTATCAGCTGCCCACTTGCTCTTTATGAGCTGCGAGTATTTCTCGTAGTCCAGCTCCATTATTTGGTAAGGCAGCCACCATTTCTTTGCCTCTCCTTGCAAGCCTTCCTGTAGGGTAGGTACCTGCTGCTCCGCTTGCAGTCGTTGGCCAGTGATGAAAGCTTGGCATTTCTCCAGGTACTTGTCGGGATCCTCGTGGTCCAGGCCGCTGAAAGTTGGCACCGCTGGGCGAGCGCTCAAGAGGGCTCTTGCAAGGTCCTCGAAGTTGAACACGTTTGGTTGACTCATTGTGTGATTTCGCCGAGGCGGTGGTGTTGGTTGAACTTCTCGTTCGTCCTCTTCTGGTACAGTCGGTGGGGGCCGTTGCTCCGCTTCCTCGGACGTAGGGGGGATCGGGCCTCGCTCGTCCTCTTCTGGTGCGGTTGGCTGGGGCTGCTGCTCTGTTTCCTCCGACGTAGGTAGGTGTGGATCTTGTCCGTCTGCTTCGAGTGCGGCTAGTTGGAGTTGTTGCTCCGTTTCCTCGGGTGTCGGTGACGTACGCTGCTCGACGGATTCGGTCACGCTGGTGCTCGCGTTGGCTCTCGACCTCGTCGACCGCGTACTTTGACTGGGCGCCACTGGGTTTTTCACTCCCAGAAGTGTGTTGGTCCCGCGCGCTCGCTCACCTGCTGGTCGCTTGTTGCTGCGTAGAGGTGTTGCTGACTCGCGTGGCCGTTTTTTCAGTGAGTTCTTATTCTTGTCGTCGACAGGCATGAGCTCTCCGGGTCGAGGGTATCGTCGTTGCTGCTGCTTCGATTCTCTTTTCGTAGAGAAGACACACGTTGGGCACGCCACTTGATGTAGGGTCTGGTGTCCGTTAGCTCAGTCTTCGTCTAGATATTTGGAAGGGGGGGAAGTTTAAGAAAAAGTAGAGGTCGAAGGACGTTTTTTTTCTTGGTAGTTTTCTACTCTGAGCACAGAGAAGAACTAACTTTTATTTTCATATCGATCGGCTTTAACTGCCGCAAAAACCCGTTACAAAAATCCCCCTTACATTTATTATTTACTTAATTTCGCGCCATAATTCGGTCGCGCTATACAATTAATATTATTATTATTTTCCCTCTACGTACGGCGTACGACGCGTATCGGTGCCAGCGCTCACACACACATCAGTATACACACAATCCGTACGTTTTGCGTGTCCGTTACTGCACACGGCATCCCTCGATACAGCTGCCATGTAACATAACGCTACGCGTTACTATAAATATAATGCACGTATCTCTCCACGCGTATTTGTTTTCCGGATAATTTCGCAGGTGCTAGAAGAAGAAGTAAGAAAAAAACGCGGAAGAGAAGCAAGAAGAACGTAAAAAAATCAATATAATTTTATCGCGGCTAGAGCTTGCGAGGAGAGCTTTTTCTGCTTCGACTATCTTATGAGACATCGTGGTGCACGGTGCGTAGTTATCGTGTAAAGTATATAATATAAGCGAAAAAGATAGGAGGATGAGAGAGAGAGAGAGAGGGCGAGAGGTCATGTGCACACGCGGACTCTTCAATATTTTAAGAGCAGTATAGCTGCTGTATATATGCGAGTGCTTCTATGGAAGAAGAAGAGAGAGAGAGACAGAGTGAATATGTGTGTGCATAGAAACGCTTTGAATAAAGGTAAAAAAGTAGAGAGAGCTTCGTTCTATCTCTCGACGTCGCTGCGCACGGTGGATATCCATCTTCTCTCGTTTTTCTTGTTAGCCGCGCGTACGCCACGTGTACAGCACGAGTGCATGCGTGATCGAGTCCATATTTTCCCATTCCCTCGAAATTGTGTTATTATTATAGTCATCATTTTTTTTTCTTCTCTCGCAGCTTACTCCATACGGTCTAGTACACTATATACGAATGCGTGAGTGCTGAGCATCGCGGTCGTACCTATATATATACGTTATACGATGCGGGGCAGGCGCGTTTCCATATCGATTATCATTAGAAAAGCGTCGCGTCGTAGCGTGCGACACGCGCGTATATAGTATATATGTGCATGTGCAGTATCGGTAATTGCGCGTGCACGCATGATCGCCGAAGCGCCCGCGCGCATTAACGTTGTAATACGTGCATCGAATTCGCAAAAGGCCAAGAGCGCGGTATGCCATTGGAGACGCATTTGCCTATTTCGATCGTCGTGCGTGTGCGTGTGTGTGAATAGGAGTTTTGTTTTTGCCCTCGGATGATGGTAAAAAAAACCTACAGGAGAGAGAGAGAGAGATAATTTAAGCGTGTAGCAGGGAATAAATGATGAAAAGTGTCAGGGACGAACTTAACGATGAATCGACTTATTTGAAATAAAAAAAAAAAAAGAGAAATAGAGAAAAAACTTTTCTGTACACCCTCGCATACACCTACGTACGTATGAAGTGTCAATCGACTATATATCGAGTGTTTGTGTATTATACACGTATGCACGTGTTATAAAATGAAAAAAAAAATGAGGAGAGAAAATCTCTCGACTCGACTTGCGTTCATTAACAACTACGACGACGACGACGACGACGACGATGTCATATAAAATAATAACAATAAAAATGTATCGGTAAGAGAGTTAAAAAAGAAAAAACTGATAATAAATCAAACGCGTGTGTCTCGTGCGTTGTGCCGCTGTTGCACAAACACGTATGTATATAGGAATTTGGGCGTAATATGTGGGCCACCGTCACCCGATCATTGGAATTGCTGGTTGCGTTCTTCGAGTATTACACCGTCAGGTATGTAGAGCTGGCTGCGCCTTATATACCAAGACAATACTCTCTATATACCGTCACCGCGCCGCCCTTCACATACATACAATACCCCGGGATATTGGGAAACTGCACACCACTGGGGTATATATAATATAGGACGATGTTTAAGAAAAGCACAGTCTCTCGCGCAGACGTTTAAACGTAGATATTACATGTCTGTGTGTTCGTATTATATGCGTACGTACTCGATCTGAATGCAAATTTTGTTTCTTACGAATACAGATCCACACAAGTATGTGTATGTACACGCACGAACGAACGTATCCTTCGATTTATTAAACTTTTATTTTTCGATTTTTTTTTCATTATTATTATTACTTTTTTTTATTATTAGAGAAAAATGAAATGCATAGCCGAAGAGAGTGAGAGTGGGTAAAAAAAAGACGAAGAAAATCTCCGTAACCATAATCACGCGAAATATTATATATTATTTTTCATCGTCTCTCTCGCTCTCGTATACATACACACTTTAAATGTCCAAGCGTTAGGAGAAACTTCGGTCGATATCCGGTGCCTCGTTGTACTCTCCAATGCGTGTGCATGTGCAGTATATGCACACAGTACACCGAGTCGCTCGCTCGCCTCGCGCGACGCGCAATATAATCTAACGACTTCCCTCTCTCTATGTGCCGATATATACATATGCACGCACACACATCTGGTCCTGGGTATTAGCCTTCGAAAACACCATTATTCTCGCTCTCGCTCTTTCGAAAGCTTACACACGCGGCAGAGACTTGGCATTATTGTCCAGCAGCCCCCAGGTGTGTATCAGTGTGTACACTTTGGCTTTAGTTTTGCGCGCAGATATTGTTATTGTTTTAAGAGAGAGAGTGAACGAACAGTCCTTTCAAGGGTTATTAATTGTCGCCGTCGCGCGGGCACCGAATCTCGGGAATACAGTTTCGCGCGAGCTCTGTTTTTCAAGATTATTATTACTTTTTTATGCAAATTCCATTCATTTATTTATTTATTTAAAAGCTCCGCAGCGCTGTCGCGCTACGCGCCAAAAATTCGTATGCATATTACGATCTCGCCCTATTAAACTCGCGCTCCAGCTTTTCTGCACTAATTGATTTGTAATGGAAGTCGTTCTTTTTTATTTCGCGCGCGCAAATCGAGTCCCCGGGATACTGGGACTCGTTCAATTGTTTATTTCGCGCCCGGTGCAATTATGCGTCGTAAATCACGGCGCATTAAACGTACCTCGTTCTTTTTTTTTTCGTTCTGTTTTTTTCGTTATTACTGTCGTTGTCGTTGTCGTTGTTGTTGTTGTTTTTACTGCTGTTATCCTTTTTATTTTTAAGTAAACTTGACTGGGCAGAAGGGGGGAGGAGGAGGGTGGATAAAAGGGTCGTCGCGTCGGAGCGGCTGCGGCTAATGGAAAAAGCTTCGCAAGAATACCCCCTGCCGTTCAAGCTCAAGCTCTCTCGTGCACAGTAGCAGTAGTAGCAGCAGCAGCGGAAAAGGTATATAAAGTCGTCGTTCGCCGTATACCACTGTACGCGTAGGGCTCGCACCTGTCGGATTTCCTTACGTGTATATATAGGTAGGGACATGCACGTATATGTATATAGTATGCATTGTCTACCACCCCGTGAGCGATATCTAAGAGAGCTGGCGTTGCGCGCGCAGTCGCTGCTGCTGCTGCTGCTACTGCTACTAGGCTTGACCTTATCCGCTCGTGACCGGCCGACCGCCGCCGCTGCTACTGCCGTGTACCGCCTTGTTGTGTTACTGCGTGTTCCCCTTTGGATTTTTCTCTCTCGCTCACTTTTCTATATATCTATATTATGGTGTGTGTGTGTGTGTGTGTGCTCTGGAGCTGGTATTATTTGCACAGCAAAGATTTTCTTTCCTTCTTCTTTGCGCAGTTGATTGAAGTGCCTGTTGTAATTAATTTCTCTCGTTTCTTTTTTTTCCTCTCTCTTTCTCTTTACTTCTTTCTTCATTTGTTCGTGTGCCAGAGCGTGTATATATACCAGGGTTTGTGTTGATTCGATGGGGAGTGAGAGAAAAAAATACTTTTATACTCGTATGTAATTGCCCCGGACGATGAGCTTTTTTCTATTTATCCTATTTTTCTTCTCTTTTGCGTCTTCGCATGATGGGACACGCGACGACGACTACGACGACGACGATGTGCTTGCGCATGAGCTTATACGAGTATATGTGCATTCGGTATATAATGCCATGAAAGACAGGTTATAAGAAGTCGCTCAAAGGACGCGTTATTAATGTTGATGGGGCGGGCTAAGTCATATCCCCGCCCGTACAACTTTCGCATAAGTATTTTAGCCAACAAACTTTGACGTATAATTTTTAGCTCTCTTCGGCTCTCGCGGCGATGTCATATATATTATTATCATTACTATTATATTATTATATATAATGGCTCGAGAGTCGACATCGACCGAAAGTTATCTCACCTGTGCGTTATATATATCGCGAAATAAGTTATTAAACTTCGCTGAAAGCCAAGCCGCACGACGGCGATAATATACACATTTTGCCTCTTTAGGTTTTCCTTTTTATAATTAAAAGTATAAGTTCGTGTCTCTGCGATCGTGTTTTATCTTTCTTTTCTTTTCTTTTTTTTTGCACAGTGACGTACACGTAATCAAGTTGTCGATGTGAAAAAAATGCGAAACAACGAACTGTGTACGATATATAAAACACAGCTGGCGCAAAAATTAGTTCACGAACCAGGAAAGCTTGCGAGCAAAGAGAGAAAGAGATTCTTAACTCACGCGACATTTTGCTACACTTCTGGTATATAATATGCTATCATTTAACAAGTATCGCATTTGTGCTCGACTCTTTCTCTCTCTCTCGCTCAGCTCTCTCTCCTCGTAAACTCGTTCAACTTATCTTCGGCTGTGAAATTATCGCCTCGATGCTCATATAATGGCCTGTTATCTACCCGGTAACACGCGGCGAATGTACGTTTTATCCTCCCGCTCCGACACACCCTACCTCGCTCGCCCCCAACTGTTGTTGTTTTGCGTTAGATCATTGATTTCGATACTCGAGCAGTTTTTATTTACTCTCTCGAGTTTCAAGGCGATAAGATAATTTTTCCCCTCCTCTTGCGTGCCGTGTGCGTAAATCATCGAATAGAAAAAACAACGAGGATCAGTTGAAAAAAGTCAGGTATAACTTTCAGAGCGTTGAATTATTATACTCTTCGCTTTTTCTCTCTCGAGAGATGGTTTAAATTTAAGGCAACTTTAATGTAAATAATTGCATAGGCGAATCGTGTCTGTGTGTGTTTGTGCTTGTGTGTCGCGTCTAATTATTGGCGCGTAGTAAATTACAGTGTGTTTACAAAATTATAGTACGAACTAGAGAGGGCCGAACAGAGTGAAAATTTCGAGCGTCAGTTAGACAGGTTTGGACAAAGATCCGAAGATGGATTGGCTCTATTATTTGTTGGTCGAGGCGCGCGATGAATTTCCTAAACCTAAAGATGAAGATGAAAAAAAATCCGAAACCGAGGGCACTTCGTCCACGAATGATAAGCCCGCGGACAAGAATCTGTGGACAAGAATGGAAAATGAGCCCGACGTTTCGTTCGGGGACGTTTTAGCGTGGTTCGAGTCCGACGCTAAGACGAACGAGGTGGATAACGAGTCCGGCTCCAGTACCCTGTCCAAGACCGATTCCGAATCGGTTATCTCGACTTGCTCGTACGACACGATCGAGACCCAGGTTGATCAATCCTACGAAGAGATAGTCGAAAAAAAAAGGAGGCTTAACGAGATGATCGAGGCCCAGGTCCGTGAATCCCGCGAAAAGATAGTCAAAAAAAAAATAAGGCTCAATGATAGATCGAGTCCCACGGACGTTCGGGATACGTTCTACAATGAGGAAAAATATTCGAGTGACGAGGACGTTTCGACGCCGTATTACTGCGAGCGAAAACGTTTGAGTTTGGCTTTGGGGCAACCAATCAGGAGGAGGTAGGTTCGACGGGGATGTGTCGACGATATGGATTGGGAAACTGATCGATTCATGGAGTCAGTCTTTTTTCCATTCTCTTTTCAAACTTTAAAATTGATCATTGATATGAAATATTCTCATTTTATCATCAAGTGCGAAACAGAGAAACGCAGCGATTGTCGTCATGATTAAACATTATGATATTTTTATGAAAAAAAGCTGTATAGCCCGGATCATTATTTTGACATCAGATATTAATAAATATAGACGAAAAGAAAGCTGTACTTTTTTTCAGTGCTAATTTGCTTTTTGCTCGTTTTTTTTCATGTTTCATGTCCCGCGCGCTGCCACTACCAAATGCTTCTTGGATTCGCTCTATCGCAACAAAAAAAAAACACAACAACAACAAAATAATTGAAAAAAACAAAACATCCGCCTCCCGACTGAACTACCTATTCCGCATCACCTGCCATCCAAAAATCAAAAATAAAAAATAAAAAAATATATACAGAGCCCAGCTAGAGTGAGTATCATTCGTCGACGAAAAAAAAAAAAAAAATAATAACGATCACACGTGCATGCAATTGTTACACACTTGCGGTATCAATGTCGAGCCCTTTTTTTCTGCATGCCGTATCTATATACGTAGATCGTTAATGTTGTTCTTGATGTCGTATCATATGTAGAGAAGCCACTTTTTTTCTCTCTCGATGTCTCTGTCATTGTTACCACTTAAAAAAAATTTATTACGTAAAACAAGCGCGAAAGCTGTCGTACTACGCAGCGCGAATCGATGTTACATTTTTTTTATCTCTCAAAAAAGTTAGTTTTCATATTTACATACTCATTCGACATAGTTAGCAGCATAATATGGTGTGCGTTTGGCGCAGTATTATAGCACTGCAGCAACGCTACTGCATACAGTCATTTAGGATTTCTTTTTCTTCGCTAATTTTTATTACAATCAACTGGAAAAATTTCTAGTCACGTTCTCTCAAGTTTCTCGGAGAGCAAGAAACGAGGACTTCGACTCATTATTACCACGTTCCACCAACTATGAAACACGTACTTTTGCACTTGAATTTTTTTCTCCGCGTCGTTTTATACCCGAAAATATTTTCTAAATTCTTTTCTTCTCTATCTCTCTCTCTCTCTCTCAATCCTCTCTCTTTGCTTTAGGGAGAGGATAATTACGATTATCTCGGAAAGAAAATTTCGCCCGAAAAGCATGTGTACGATCCGCGCGCTCGTACATCATCGCGTATATAGTTCAAAGAGAGAGGGAGTGAGACGGAGAGAAAGTTTAGAATGTAAATAATACCGCGATATATACGTGTATACATAAGCGCACGCACCCCGAGCGGACTTCACACTTGAACTTTTCGAAGTAGACAAACACTCAAGCGCCGATCTATGCGCCGAGCGAACACACACAAGCATTTACACGAGCATAAATATGCACGAAATATATAATAGCACTCGCACACACTTATAGTCAAGGACTTCACCCCTCCTATCATGTTCCATTATAATATGTATAGCGAAAATTTTCAGTTTATATGAAATACTGATAATTTCTTTCTCAACGTATTTGAAAATTATGCAAAACTTTTCACGTGGATCGCGCGAGATTAGCATTCATGCGCCCTCGAGTATTTTAAAAAGGAGAAAAAAAAATTTTTTCCGTTTCTACGAATATTCTACTCGCATGTGGCCAGCCACGAAAAAGGCAGCAGCAGACTCTCATCGAAAATACATGAAACGTGTAGATGTACGCTGCTACGCGTTAATCAAGCGAACGGCGCAATTATAGAGAGGACCACAGCTGCGAGACATTTAATTAATCATAATGAGTGCTGTATTATCATATCAAAGGATTAGCCGCGTGGTTGGAGCAGCAGCAGTAGCAGGTCTGTCGCGAGTACTTAGTTTTCGTCATTAGGCCCGCAGCGCAGGGTATAACCGGTTGTGTTATCAAATGACACCTCATAATTGAGAAGTTTTGCATAATACAATGGTCGTTTTATGTCATTTTTTTTTTCACTCTGACATCTCCCCTTTTTTTATATCATCATATATTTTAATAATAATAGTTCAACGAGGACTTGACATTACGAAATTTTTGTATTTTATATATTATTATATCACATTTTATATCATGTATATGTTCGCTGTCCGCAACAGCACGGAAATATATAATTTTGCATGAGCACACACGAAGATGAAAAAAAAAAAAAAAATTAACCATCGACACGTACACAAATTTTCGATTTTATCAATATATCACAATCATCCATCCGCATAAACCATCGAGACATTTTCCGAACTAACGCAAGCTTCGCTCTGATTTTTCTCGGCTGACTCTTGTGCGGATCGTCCTCGGCTAAAACAGAACGACAGGAAGTCCGGGCAGTAAATCACCGGCGGGCGTGAGCGGCGGTCCAGCGTCGGCGACCGGTGGCGGCAGCTCCTCCGGGGCCGGGGCGTCGGGCGGTGCCAACGCGTCCGGGGCGGCCACGGGTCCCGGCGGCGAGCCGCGCACCCCCACGGCCGGACCTCAGAACAAGCAGCTGCAAAATGTCAAGGGCGAGCATCCATCGGTTAGTACAGTTGAATTATTTTATTATTTCTTCTCTTATAGCTCTATATAGCTCTATATAACTCTATATATATCTCTATATTCTGTATTATATATCTATCTCTCTCTATCTCTCTATTTTTCTGCACTTACACACATAATATATTTATACTTCATACGCACAATAACACATGTATAAACACGTACATAAAAAATATGAATCGTAAAAAAAATTTTTTTTTTTCTCAATTTTTATTTTTATATTTTCGTATACGTGTAATATACCGACCTACTTTTTACTTACCCTATAAGCCTCGGCTTTACATGCTACTAAGCATATTACGCATCATTTAGTCAAAGAAAAAGAGCTTTTGTACACAAGCATACATACATACACATATAAACATATGTAGAACATTCAATAGTTTCATGAGTACGCCTGTCTTTGATCCAAATATAGAATCGTGTGCAAAGTTCCTTGATCAAACTTCTGGAAATGTGAGTGTGTGACAGAGCTGGCGCGAGGTGTCGAGAGGAGTAGGGGCTAGGGGGGAGACGAAAGGAACGAAGAGGGGGGTGGGTCGAGGGGACGACGCGAAGAAAGAATTTTCAGACTCTCTCTCTCGCGCGCGATTTTCATCGAGCGATATACTTGAGTTTTAATTAATGCGCGCGTTATATATACACGAAAAAAACAGTTGCGCGTTTCGGTTTACTTTGAGTCACGTTATACCCACTGCACATATACGACGATGTGATTTTTAAAGGAAAAAAAAAGAAAAGAAAAGAAATTGGTTTCTCGATTCTCTTATACCTACGAGGCACTTTCTCAAAAATGGCTTTTCCTAAAAAACGTCACAAGTATCGCCAGATTTCGCAGCTGCTGGCAAAAAGGCGCGCGAGTTACAAGTGTATAAATTTTTCAAGAACTCGAGAGAGAGAGAGAGGGAAAACCGGGAGTCGAGATTTACTTTTTGAGCCTATATAACGGGGCGCGCGGCGCAAAAGAGCGGATGATACATAATCCCGCAGTATTGCGATCTCGTCTCGACTGCTGCTGCTGCACTGCTGAACGAAGATTAACGCTATAGGGTGTTCATTTGCTACGGATTTTGCGAAAAGGCTTATACCTTCTTGGCCTTTTTTTCCTTTTTTTTTCTTTTATTTCGCGCACAGATCTCTATGCGATAAAGCTTTTATGATAAATCCGTTTGTTAAAGTGCTCGAGGGTTTATAGTGTATATGCCAATTTTTTTTTTACTCTCTTCCTTCCTTCGGTCTATATCTTTTTCGATCGACGCGAGTGGTGCGATTTTGTTGGATAAAAAAAAAAAAAAAAACGAGGGCGAGGAGAAGGAGGCGAGGGGAAGGGCAGAACCGAGTTAGCGGCGCGGTGAGATGGAAATGATGGAAAGAGAGAACGCGCGGGGAGCAAAAACGACGAAGGTTACAACGTCGGCAAGCGCAGCGCACGTGTGGCCTGAAGAAATTGACAGCAGCAGTAGCAACGGGTACAATGGATGAATGAAAAATAAGTGGGGTGTGTATTGGACATTGCCGCGCGCCGCCTATTCTTCTCTCGTCTTTTTTTTTTTTTTTTATATTCGCGTGTATTGACTCGCGATCCTTTGTTTTACGCCGAGCTATTATCATTTTTTTTTCGAATGTCAGCTGATTAGGCATCCATCGCGCGCAGAGGAAAGGGAAACATATTATACATTAGATCGGACCGCTTTTTTCCGAAACTGCGTGAAACGTCGATCGAATGCCTACGATAGCTTTTTGGTCATTAACCAAAAAATGTTGAACCTCGACGATCTAGATCTGGTAAGCGAGGTTTAACATTTTTTCGGACCGATGACCAAGGGATGACAGGTTGGCCGAAGCCGAGGTTTCACGCACTTTTGAGAAACGGCGTTCGATCCAATATATACATCATGTGTTGTGCGCGACCAACAATACAACTACAACTCGTCTCTAACTTCTTGTGTTTTTCTTCAAATTTCTCTGTGTGTGTTCAAAATTAACATTAACCCCCCCAGAGCATTAATCGAAGTTCCATTCCATTTGCAAATTTGCTCGACAAAAATGTATAGAAAGCCTTCATGCAGAGCAGATCCATCTCGCTCGTGGACATGTACATCGACAACGCGGAGCCAACTGAGAACGTCGGCCAAATACACTTCAGTCTGGAGTACGACTTCCAAAATACCACGCTTATTCTGCGTATCATACAGGTATGCGATCTTTCCTTTGGTATACATTTTTTTTAAATATAATAATACGCTTTGGACTGCATGACTTGTTTCGGTTAGCGACATACGAGAGCGACGGCGTCTTTTATTGTTATTATTATTATTATCATTATTATTATTCATCTTTTTTTCCTCCACGTCCCTATTAAATCGCAAAAGTCTCTAGCTACTTTCAGAGAGCACCAGAGAGACAGATATCGGAGCGAACTTTTTTCCTTTCGATCGAGTTTCTTTACTTATTTCGGAAGTCGTGGATTTCTTGCTCTTACTCCCTCTCCCTCTCTCTTTTTTCGCACATGCTCGTAAAATTTTTTCTTGTTAGACACACGGCTCGCAATAAAATGAAAAGCACACATATATATTTCATATATGGAGAGTCTCTCCGTTGAGTATGCACAACCCTATACAGCCTCGAGGTGACGAGCGAAGAAAATATAGTTTCTGAAAAATTTCGCGCGCGTGCGTTACTTTTTTTTGGCTCGAGAAAAAAGAGTAGCTTTTCAATTCTCCACCGGGAGAGAAAAAAATGTGATAATCCGCAAAAAATGTTCCGAAGATCGTGGTATGTAAAAAATATTATATTATTAAAAAAAAAAAAAAGAGAGAAGAGAATGAGCTTTTAATTAAAAGGGTGAGATTCTAATTGAATTTTTGTACTTGGCCTATATCATTTACATTTTATAATATAATAACAATATAAAGAAAGAACGCTCATTAATTTTTTTTCTACTCTCACTCTCTCTCTGCTGCCCTTTCGACCACGTTCGTACACGCGCTCCGTTCGATTTTTTAATTATTCCAACCCGGGCATAGACGTATATAAGCGTCGAGAGCGTAAAAGAGAGAAAGAAGAGTTAGCTGCATTTTTACGTTATACAGTGTTGTACGTGAAATTTTTTTCACTCTGCCACGCGCGCTCTGTAAATCGTCCAGCAGTTACGAAACTTATGCAGCGCAGCAGCTACATTGCGATATCGAGCTAAACTTATACAGGGTGAGGTAAAGAGAGCATTTTTTCGCTTTCTCTCGCTCGCTCGCCTCGCTCTCCGGGCCGAACTAATTCCGAAACTCTTCTCTCTCGGTCTCCGGGCATGTGTATATGCATTAAAACTCAAATACACGGAAATTCCATAATCCCGAGCTCTCCGGGATATACAGCGCTTAAGAGGATGAGAAAGAACGAGGAGCGAGACTATATCCACTCGCTGCTGCACGACGCGAATTGCATTTCTTAACTGGTCTTCAAAGTATCCGTAAAATTATCCACCCGCTCGGGCCACGCTGCTTTACAGACGGACAAACGCCCGCGCACACAAGTGCCTAGTTAAAGTTGCAGCTTTTTTTTCTTTTACTTTATTTTTATTTACTTGTTTTTTTTTTAGAGTTTATTACAATATACCTCTCCTCGTACCAGGCCTAGACCCGTGATTCGGATAAAAATACCAAATTTTTTACGTAACTTTGTTCAGGGGAAGGAACTACCAGCCAAGGATCTGTCCGGCACGTCGGATCCGTATGTGAGAGTCACCCTGCTGCCCGACAAGAAGCACCGCCTCGAGACGAAAATCAAGAGGAGAACCCTGAATCCACGATGGAACGAGACCTTTTACTTCGAAGGTACGGCACGACGCTTTTTTGTATTGATTTTCTTCTCGACTGCATATATCGACGTTTCAACAATTTTCACAAAAGTTTTGCGAAAAAAAAATTAAAAACACGAGGCTTTGAAATTTATCCGACACGATTTGCCGTAGATCTGTAAGCCAAAAGAAAGCCGCAAAAATTCCTTTGTTAAAAAAAACTTTTCTCTCCGCGGATGTTGAGAAGAATGTTTTCAAACATTTGAATTAATTTTCCAATGCGACGGAATAACGCATGAATACCAAATATCGGGATTGTTCGACTTAAAAAGTCTCGTTACATAGTTTTCGGCGGCGGTGACGGCAAGAATTGAAGATTAATTCGACTGGAACCAAATTCAACGCTGTGTTTCCTTCGATTTGCGAGCGTCACGAGTGGAGTATATTTCGCGCGATGATAAAAAAAATAAAATGAGTTTCTTAAATCGACTCCCCAGCTGTCATTTTCGATATTTATCGACATTCGACTTGGATTATAAAAGAAAAAAGAAAGGAAAAAACTTATTACTCGCAGGAACACGGGCACGGACTAAATTTTAATTTGTAATATTTCGAACTCGAAGGAAAAATTTCCCCCACACCCACTTTTCAATCGAAAATGTCAATATCGAATTTCGTATTTAGACACGCGCGCGTGCACGCGTATGAAAATTCGCCTACATCTATTTTTTTTTTTTTTTCATTACATCCAATCGTGCTGAATCGTGTGCGTAATTGCAATTGATGCGCGCTCATGGAAATTTATTGCTTTCAAATTCCGCCACCGCACACACCGGACCAATATGGATTTATATTTATCGCTGCAAAATTTTTCGAATAATCCCAGCTTCGTTTAAATAAAACGACGACGGCCACGCGCGAAATAAATAAATGAATGAATAGAAAACCTTTACAATGACGCGCGCACGTGGAGATATCCCAGGGACTTGTTGCTCGTATATACAAAAAATAATTAGGATGAAAATTGTGTTCATGCAAATGAGAGAGCTCGGTTGATTCGCGCATTTGTTTTTTTTTTCTGTTGCTGCCACGTGTACGATTTGTGTAAATAAAAAGAAGATACGTATGTGGGTTTACGTAACAGAACGCACACCTACTTTTTTGCAATTGACCGCAAGCACGCGCGCGCATATCGTTGACAACTATCTTCGACCCAGCAGCAGCCCAGCGGAGAAGAAAATCAATCGACGTCCAAAAATACTCGTATCTGTTTGCTAAAATAGCCCATAACCTTCAGATTTGAAAATTTTTTTCCCCTCTTCGGCACAAAGGAGCCGCTGCTACTGCTGCTGCTGCTGCTGCTCTAGTAAAACGAAACACAAAATACACGGCTGCCCTCCACGTGCTGCTGCAGGCTTTATATAAAAAAAATCGTTAAAGAAAACACGAAGCGAGTAATTAGTTAAAGCATTAAATACCAAGGTGGCATGCGGCCCTGTTTTTTTTCTCTCTCCTCTTTTTAAAGCGAAAAACTTCAAAGGGGGTTCACACACACACACACACACATACGCTTGAATACATGCATACGTAAAACTAGTAGTTAAGAGCAGCAGCAGCAGCTGTAAAAGTAGCGGTATATAAGGAAAAGACACGGGCAAGATTCACCCCGTTTTTTTTACACATACAATCACGTTCCTTCTTTTTTTCCTTGCCTCGCTTGCTTCGTCGCGCACCGTCGTCGTCGTCGTCATCGCATCATCATCGTCGTATACCGTGGCCTTGACACCTCTCCGCGGCGACGCTCAAACATTTAAACGCGAGCTTGTACACGAAGATATATAATATGCGCGCGCGCGCCGCGGCTTTTCAACGAGAGGCTGCTATGCTGCTGCTACTGGTCTCCGTCCGACCGTGCACAGACATTGACTACTCGCGTTGATCGTTTTTTCCTTTTTTTTTTTGTTCATGCACGTACCGGAGTATAAGAGAAAATCTTTGTTGCACAAAAAAAAAGCTTTTTATTAACTTGGGACTGGGACAAACATGCTGCTGCCATATGGATGATCGTCGATATACGTATACCTCTCTTTTTACGAGGTTTTTTTTTTTATCAATCGTGTCCCCGTATATTCGTATGCTACTGCGCGTATGTACGTGCCTCGATATCGTGTCTCGAAATTACCCTATAAACCCTCAGTTCAGCGAGCAAAACCGGTCCCTCGTTCGAAAGCTGACGTTTCGATTGTTTTCGTTTTAGCTCCCCCTTTTACACACACAGAGAGCATATAGTTCGAAAATCCTCTCTCTCTCTCTATATACCGCCGAGACAAATCCGACGTCGAAGCGTCGACGACGATGAAGCCAGGAATTCGTTTAATTTCTTTCTCTCTCTGTGTCTCTCAGGTTTTCCGATTCAAAAGTTACAAAGTCGAGTTCTCCACCTCCACGTCTTTGACTACGATCGATTCTCGAGGGACGACTCTATAGGCGAAATGTTTCTGCCACTTTGCCAGGTGAGTTATTTTATACTTTTATACGATTGTGCTCGGCTCGTGTATATATAGTACTACTACTACTACTGCTGCTACGGTCGTCGCCTTTGACGATCGAATTGTGTGTCGTATACGCAATAAAATCCCTCACGATTTCTTTTATACATATATATAATACACATTGTAGCGCGCCCGGTAATCTCGAGTGATTTTTTCTCGTTTTATCTGCTGTAGAAAATACATTATTTTCGCGCTCGCGCGACATTCGGGGGCTTTAATGAATCGTCGCTTAATCACGTCTACCCTACTCTAAGCCTGACGATATACGTATATATAGACGCAGTATCGAGCACAAGCGTACATTATAAATCACAACTGTCACGCATTCGGGGGTGGGCGCTAGAGCCACTTGATATATGTGATATAAATATATATACGCGACTGTGTGTGTGCGCGCGCGGTGATGTGTGCATTTGTAGGTCGATCTCTCGGAGAAGCCGTCGTTCTGGAAGGCCCTGAAGCCCCCAGCGAAGGACAAGTGCGGCGAACTTCTCTGCTCGCTTTGTTATCATCCGAGCAATTCCGTGCTCACGCTCACGCTGCTGAAAGCGCGAAATCTCAAGGCCAAGGACATCAACGGAAAGTCAGGTACGCACGAAACACACACGATATACGTATTATTATAGAAGGAAGGGGAATCGATGAACGGCACCCTTATTTTCCGCACTTCGAGTCCCGATGTTTTAATCGAAAACACGGAGCAAATGCGGGACATCGATACGGCCGCGCGCGGTAATTGATTCGTTATGTGTGTTACGTTACGTTACGTTAACGTCTGTCGTTTGTGCGTGGATATATATTATTGTCTTTAAACGGGCGAGCGGGCAGGCAGCAAGGAAATTAGATTCGAAATGAGATTTACATCGTTGGCGTCGTTGTTGTCGTCGTCGTCAGCACCGGGCCGGCATGTAAACGACGCGTACGTATGTATACATCCCTGCTGTTGCTGCTCTCGCATTGTTTAACCATCGCCTTGAACTTTGGGGGGGCAGAGAAAAAGCGCGCGAGAGCTTGCGCGCGAGATAGGTACACTTTTTTTTTATTTTTTCGCTGTCGCTGTGTTTTCGCAAAAGTATCGTATCTAGTAAACACGTGGGTTTAAAAAATGCACCGGCACGTACGCATCGACACGTGTCGCTTGCTTGCCGCGCCGCGCCCCTTTTATAATCCCTCGCTGCCTCGGCCCGCTGCAGCTCTCAGAAAAAAATCGATAATTCATTTTTTAATTCTCTTTTTGTTTGTCGTCGTCGACGTCGTGGTCGTGATTGTTGCTGCTGCTGCTGTGTAACGCAACAAACACACACACCTTGCTGCACGCGCCGCGCACCACAACAACAACAACAGATCCATACGTGAAGGTCTGGCTGCAGTTCGGCGACAAAAGAATCGAGAAGCGTAAAACGCCGATATTCAAGTGCACCCTGAACCCGATCTTCAACGAGGCGTTCTCCTTCAATGTGCCCTGGGAGAAGATACGCGAGTGCTCGCTCGACGTCATGGTCATGGACTTCGACAACATCGGCAGGAACGAGCTCATCGGCCGCATACTACTAGCTGGTGAGTAATGAATCTTATATTGTAAAATAAAATATAATTACCCATTTCTGTTTTACTTTTTTTTTTTACTTTTCAAATGTCATGTAAACTAATTAAATTTACATCAGAGCCATATATGTCGAGAGTCCAAACGGGGAAAAAATAATTAATTTAACATTTTTTTGTTCAAACAATGTCGTCGTTTGTGTATGTGTATGTGCGGACAAATGGAACGAGACGGATAGAAAATAAAAATGGGATAAATATACCGTCACGCGTACACTTGAAAGAGCTGACAAAAAAAAAGAAACACACAAATGGGCTATGAAGCACCACCACCGCTGGATCGCTCTCGGCCCAGTATCTCGAATGACTATACGATGTAAAGATACGGGATTCGCGAGCGGGGGCGCGCGTGCGCGGAAAAAAGGAACGCGATTTTGAGCTTTCTCACTCTCTCTCTGTATGTATAAAGCAAGACCTTGGGCGTGAAAGAGATTCTCAGCCCAGCAGTAGCAGCTGCAACAAAGCTGCGTCTTGCATATACTACGCATACTCAGACGCACGCACGCACACACACACACACATATACACGCAAAAGCGAGGGTATTATGGCAATTTTCAGGATATTTCGTTGAAATTATTTCATTGCTAGAATGACGACGCTGCAGCCGCTGCGGGGCTGAGAATTCGATTAAAAGCCGCGCGCGAACGAGAGAAAGGGAGCGCGCGAGGCATTGAAATATTCATAAATTTATATATCTGCCAGTAAAATTGTTGACGGCAAATAGAATACATCTATACATTTTAATATTAAAACGGACACGTCCAGAGAAACGAACGCCTCGACGCGATGTACACAATCCGGTTAATATTCGTAATCGATTGGAAATTTATCAAAACAAGAGATAAAAGGCCAGCGATATCGCGCTGGTTGACACCCAGCCGTTCGTCGTTGCTGTCTCGATGCGGGAAGCGGAAGCTATAAAGAAAGAAATGTGCCGTGAAGCTTCGCAGAGTCAGAGAGTGAGAGAACTAAATCAGCGTAAACGCGTTATTATGTTTATGAAGCGAGAGAGCACATTTGCGGGGAGCTCGGATGACGATGCAGGCGTAGCGCACGACTCTCGAGATAAGCGAATTTTGTCATTTTGATTCGGTTTCGACTAAATACTCTCTGGCGCGCGCGCGCGTGTTCATAAAGACCTCGATTATATACCAATGTGTGCGTGTGGCTGTACACGTTTGTATCTACGACTCGTTGAAACAGAACAGTACACACACAATGGGGCTCTCGCGAGCGAAACGTCAGGCCGGCCGATCAATGGCATGATTCGGATGCTTCGAGTAGATATAGCGGAAGAGAGAATACCCGATAATTAGATTCGATACGCGCGAGGCAGTGCACAGCTGCATCACGAGGCAAATAATGCGAGATCTCTTCTCGTTTGCCATTTTTGAGATTATTCGTTCGTATACGGGTGTATGCCGTTAATGAGCCGTGCATATATGCTCGAGTATGCTCCGAGCTACCGTAAATGAATTTATGTCTCAATCTAATCAATCTTTTCTTTCTTTCTTTCTCTCGCTATCGTAGGTAAAAACGGCAGCGGAGCGAGCGAAACGAAGCACTGGCAGGACATGATCACGAAGCCGAGACAGACCATCGTGCAGTGGCATCGTCTCAAGCCCGAGTAAAGAGCTGCTCCTCCGAAAGCAGAGGAAGCGAAGTCGGAGGAACACATGGCGCTCTCGCTCGCCTGCGAAAAAACGCGTCGCAGATGAATATTCTCCCACCACCAAAAATCTCGTGCATACAAAAAATTTAATCAACAAACAAACAAACAAAAATCTATGTATTACACACATGTATCTTCGACGAAAAAAAAGTATTTCATGCAGAGCAGAGAGAAATCGGCGAGCGTGTTGGACGAAGGATCATCATTGCGAAGAGGAGGCCGCGTCTAGGCCTAACGCCCCTGGACGCGTAAAAGAAGTTGATCCGCTGGACTTCGGGCCCGGATGAAGATACGAAGTACCGAAGCGGCAAAGTTACGACGACGACTATATTGTACGAACGAACGCGGCTCACCCGAGCTCGTTCTCTCTTTGTACTACCAAAAATGAAAATGGCTGAGGGCTCGCGCGCGCGCGTAAATCCACGGTGTCTGTCGTATCGTGTCCAAGAACACGATTACGATCCACGGAGACGCGTCGTCGCGAATAATAAGTTTTTTCGTTGATTTTCATTCGGCTCCTCTCTTCTTGGTTCGATTTTTCGTGTGCACGCTCCGTTTCATTGCTCTTCGGTTAATTTTTATTTGTATATGTCGATCCGTCGGTCACGACGCAACGAACAATTTGTGCGCGTGGAGGACGTCGATCCGAGCGATTGTTTGTTATATAATATATTGTAATACATTGTAATCGAGATTTAGAATTATTACTTGAAATATACGTTAAATGTTACCTGCAAAAAAGTATAACGTTTGAAAAAAAAGATAAAATTGATCCATCGTTGTCATCGTTGGTTCAAAATATATATAATATATATGAGTTGCTTTATATAATAAGTATATGATTGTTATACGTTAAAGCCCTGCAGGAGTCATAACTTGTGCGAAATAAACATGAGTTTAAGTGAGCGTGTCATATGAAACACAGTTCGAGTAGATTTTTTGAATGTTCGGGAAACGAGCCGAGTACAAGCTGAAAAATTTATTTTCTAAAAAAAATACCGAAAAAAAAAATAATGATGAAGTCTCATGCATAATGTCACATAAATAGGACACATATTACTTCGCAGTCTCTTCTTCTTTTTTTCTGTATTGTCAACGTTATTAATCGTTGCTCCATTTATTTTCGTGAAATGGCGCGATGAAGCTTGTCAGCCGAGTGCTTATGTATTTCCTTTTTAACCGTCATAAATTTCAAACTAATTGGTCAAAAAATTTCATGAAAAATATATGTGATATAATTGACGTAGAAATATCATTGAAAAAAAAAAAGAATAATACAACCAGTGTTTTTTGATACCTAGGCAATCTGTGGTATCCGTGTATACTTTTGTAAACTTAGATAGTAAATTCGTGTAGGATATTAATACATCTTATACTTTTAAGCGTGTGATGAATACAAATATACAAATTCATTTTTGAATTTTAGACTGTTCTCTCGTTCTAATGCAAATTTGTAAAAGTCACTGACATAATTCCACCTGAAAAAACTTTCATCTATACGGCAATAGAAAGCTTGATTTACGATACCAAGTCCGGATTAGAAATGCATTAAAGTAAATATGTATATCCATGCGTCATTGCGATTGCTCGCACAAAATTACAGTCAATTTTATCAGTATTTTTTTCATCGTTTTTAACCAATAAAATATGTTGCGCGTATGTATACTTATATACACAAGGCCAACTACCTAAAAAATGTGGACAAATATTATAATAAAATTATAAGTCGCTTCGATGAAAAAATAAACGTGTCAGGCAAACATTATTGAGATTTGCACTAACTCGAACATCTGGTTTGGCCAAATATCTTTTACATCGATCGATTATGAAACGAAGAGTTGAAATAAGTTTGAAAAACCCAACCTCTTCGCTAGATTTTTTAATATAAATTAAAGAAAATGAAAATCTGTGAACCGCTCGATAATGGTGGATGGCTCGAAACGACGTCGTGGAATTCGCGTGATCGCCGCGAATAAGTGTATAATTATGCATAAAAACATTCATCGTTCAACTGTATCGAAAAACTCAAAACTTCTCTGAACGCAATCGTGTCACGAATAATCATCGTTCATTGCAACAACACAAAAAGCCAAACGACCCGAATGATATACTTATTCTCTCGAGCTCGTGTGTATTTACGTGTGAGTGTGCGTGTGTGAATAAATACAAAACAAAAAATCCTAAGATGCCAAAAAAACGTCCACTTCGCTCTTTCATGATCCGCGTTTGATTCTCGCTTCTTCTTTACGTAAAAAAAAAAATAAATAAATAAATGAAGAAAGGGGGTGCAAAGAGAAATTTCCGTTGCGTGAAATTGAAAAGGCCCTGAGTGAAAATGCAAACGAACAAACACCTTCTCGATTCGATATTATCGATCGATCGAACGAACAAAGACTAGTTTACGTCGCGAGTTACAAAAATTAGTTGTCTCGCGAGGCGCGCGCGTGTAAATATCGTGTACATGTATTACATCGCAATTTATGGGCGTATCAAAGTAGAAATTAATTGACCGCTTGGTGAAGTCAATCAAGGCTATCGTTGTGTAAGATATATATTAAATTATGTGCATATACTCGAAGCATTGCTCGATCCAAGCTTGGACAATGTTAAGATAAAATAGCGACAACGAGCTTCGATATTTCTAATAATTATGTATTGTATAAAAACTTGTAATCCCGACGAAAAAAAATTCAAAACCATATCCACAATTCAAAGGACCCTATGTAATACGCGACCAAAATATGGATGGACAAAAAATTGCTTTACTCTCTGTATCTATAGCACATGTGTACTGCGTTCTACATCAACATTAATTATCATATAATCAATCGATTTTAAGACAAAAAAAAAACAAATCATGAATGTATCGTAAATGGATGTATGCTAGAATCATATTGTGACCACAACTATCCTATGTGCACACATGTAGCTGCTGCATAATTAGACACGTGTATCGCTCGATGTTCATCTTGGACGCACAAACCAAATGATTAGGCGTTTCACAAGTTTTAAATTAGTTAAAAATTAGCCGTATCGGAATGAAAAAAAAGCTATTTTTTGATGACGTAACAGTTGAATATATCGACTATATTTAATGATGAATTTTTATTATACTTATACAAGACAAAAAATTGTTAACATGCTAGTTCTATTCCTTGGATTTATCAAATATTTAAATGACAAAGCTATATATATTAATATATATTTATGAAAAAAAAGAAAAATGAAAATGCATTTGCCGTTGAAACAGAAAAACTATTTGATTTTTTCAAAGTCTATATTGTATACGTAAAATGCACTGTACAACTGCAACGGAGAGATCGATTATGCTGAAATGAGGGGGTAGATACAATAGAGTATGTATAGTAGTTGCGCGCATCTCGTCCCTCTCTCGGGGGATAAATCGCGCTTGTCTCGTTCCACAGGTGGGTCGACACCGAACGACCGACTTTATCGATAACAGGGTATAATGATCTCTCCGTTGGTATCAAGCCTCTGGTAAACTCAAACATATCCAAAAAACGCCTCTTCTTTATCATATAATGTACATACAAAATGTAAATGTATATACACGCGGTGGTCACACACGATTTCCGACATTAGACAGAATTAAATAAAAAAAAAACCGACAATTACGACGTGTTTGATCATCGGGCTCGGAACGGTCCTGTCACGAGTAAAAGTGAAGAAAAATATTCAATTCAAAGAGTTTCACGACACTTCACACACCGACACATTCGCGTGCACCGTGTGAATTTCATTTATCGCTTGCATGCCAGAATTTATCGATTCGTCGCCCTTGGCGGCGACGATTTGTATATGATTTTCTCGTTTATCTTGTGATACAATGTTATACTTAAATGATAAAATATATGTATATTATAATGCACCACTGTGACAAAACATGAGAACATATTGTGAGAATAATTTTACGCTTATAATTAAAATAACAAAAAAAAATAAGAAAATGTTATTAACAAAGTTTATGCCGAGGATGAAAAAGCATAAAAGCAGAGCAAAGAAATAACGAGTGATTAAACAAAAACTTACCTCTTTTTTGATAAAAGATGCTAAAAATAATTATTGACATTTGATTGTGCTTGAATTAAAGAGTATGACATGGTGATGATGACGATCGGTACGTCGTGTGTACTTCGCACAAATAAAACCAACAGCATGCGCGAGAGTAGCTAAATCAAAGTAAGCCAAAACTCACACTTGAATCTTGAACTTATCGTCATTTTTTCATGAAACACGAAACGCATTGTTCAGGTGCCGAAATCCACGACAACTCATCATAAGAATAATCAAGCGTTTAATTACTTACATTGCATTGCATTTCATTATAATATTCTTGATAATCGAGCGACGAGGTGGAAAAATGACGAGAAAATCGAAACGATCTGCCGATTACAGAATACGCTGCAAATACGTACACATAAAACAATCGTGAAGAGTGAAATTTAATGAATCTTAGGTAAAATTTAATCACTTGCATCATGATCACTATGAGATATGTAGTCGTTCACCTCATATAGATGGATACACTTGACTAAATTAATAATTAAATATGCATAAAAACAGGAATGCGTCGAGAAAATACTTGCGTCTGTATATAAAGGATCGAAGAAAAATGCGACATGGATAAATGACAAAAAAAAATATGAAGATTTTAATTTTGAAAGGCTCATTAATCAGCCTTTTGCGGCTCTAAGATGGTCATAATTATAATATTGATGTATCGGATCTGCGAGAGCAATTTGTAAAGTATTTTTATAAAAAATATATATAAATATTATAACTATTAATGTGAAAATAAATGATAAGAATAAGTAACCATTATATGTAAAAGCTATCGCGCGTATTAAGTGTTATAAACTCGAAAAGAGAAAAACCCATACGAGCGAGTTGATTTTCGATGAACATCAAATTGCACGAACGTAAACAATGCACATCAGAACTTCATTCACGTTATAATTGTATAGAAATTTACGTAGACATGAAATTCAATCATCGGTCGGACGTAGAGAGAGAGAGATGAATAAAGCGAGTATACTCTGTATGTGTGTGTCTCTGTATGTGCAGGAGAGCCATTAAAAAATTTCACTCGACGAAACTGCGATTGTACGGCGTGCATGAATAATATCGAAGCTTTTATCAAGATCTACCGGAAGAGTAGATGAAAAAACATTTACTAATCGAATTGCTGATTCTTTAAGTCTATACGCAAGAGAGAAAAAGAGAGAGATGTTTCGTTTTAACAGATATAAGAAAAAAAACAAGGACAGCAAAATCGTTAATCAAATTCCAATGATTTTTTTTTTAAACGAAAAAAACAATTCAGAACAAAGAAAAAAATGGAAAGTGATCAGTGCTAATATAGTAATCAACTATTAGGATGTTTCCGTCTATCTATAAATTCAAAGAGATATATTTTAGAATTGATGTACTATACAACGTTATTAAACTACGAACACACACGGAGTTCAGTAAGAAACAAAAACAAATCAGTGACAACGTGAGTGAGAGGAGTTAGTTATTTTGTAAGAGATACTAAACAGATACAAATTTATTTTTATAAATATTCAGTTTGAATGAGAAACTACTTCTCGATAATCTTTGTCGCATTAAACGGACGACATACCTTGGATGATAATCATTACAATTAAAATATAAAAACTCAATTCCTGGTTAAACACCAAAAATGCATTATACGTCATTAATAGTATTTCTATGTTGAATCGTTGATTAAAAATGTGTAAAGTATTGTAATACCCCCATGTAAGAGACAGTGTTCATTGATGTTAAAAAAATTGGTATTTCATAAAAAAAAACTAATATAGTCGCTGATATGTTTAGAAAAAAGTTAATATTATTGTGTAGGGGGTTCGTGGATAATTAGAAAAAAAAATTGATATTTCCGTATGATTTTCAGTTTTATTTCTTTTCTATTGATCGAAGCGAGAGAAGTTTAGCTGTTACATCGTTACTATCGTCATAGAATTCTATAAGCGAGTTTTTCTCTAAAAAGTGTTGTTTAATAAAATTTATGAGATGGACTAATTGTTAATCAATTGGTAAAACATTTATTCTACATTGCATTAAATAGAGATTTTAACATTTCAAATGATCCTTTGATCATGAGTGTAGAAGTATAACGAAAATAAAAGCGACGGGAAAATTGCACAATCGCAATTCCATTAGTAAATAACCGGGAGGATCGGAAACGATGTAATTTGAGTGCAATAAAGTGCGAATAAAAATCGATTCAAAGAATGGATTATATATTAAACGTCGCTTTGAATGAAAAAAATCCTATCTACCTTTTACGAAAAAAATATATAATACGTGTTCATGATAGAGTCTCATATAAACTACTCTTGAATATTAAATGGTAGATCGATGACCGATAAAATCTTCCTTTCTAATTATATAATAAAAAAAAAATAATCAGCTGCACGATTGTATATCACTTCATTGAACAGCGATCTCTATAATCTATATTATGTGTAATTCCATTTAATCATGACTCATAAAAGAAAAATTGACATGCGAAGGAGGGACAGACGAGAGAAAGAAAGACGGACAGGTCAGAAAAATAATATTAAAGCCGAAAGCGCAAAAAAAAGTATTTGAAATGCGTGCCAGTGTTTTAAAAAAAATTAAAAATAAATAAATAAACAATAAAGCGAATTTATTGTGTCTATATTATCATAGCGACGGCGAGAAAGCAACCAAAAAAAATGTCAGTGACACATTAAGCGTAATAAAAAGCTATAGAACGTCTAGTTTTTCCGTTTAGTACATTTGTATTAGCCGATGACTTTTTCGGTTTGTAGCTATTGTTAAAAGCGATGTGCGTAAAAATCTGCATTGTAAAATCGTCGTTTGTCATGTGTTTTATGCGAGTGTGAGTAGTTGAAAGATAATTCTTTGTATACTCGACAACATGAATGTTCCCCTCCCCGGTTTTCCTCGACTCTCTGTCATTTCGTAAAGGTTCTCGACGAAATAAACAACTGTTGATGGGGGCTTTAGGATTGAAAAATTAAACAGATAAACAATTAGCACATATTTTTAGTCTTGCAAACAATTGCCTGCATTTTGAGACTCGACAGTAGTGCCTGAGAAGCATTAATTCATAAAAAAAGTAGTGGAAGCGGCAAATCGCGCGAAAACAAAACGAAAAAAATATAACATATAAATCAACAAGTGCAATTCAATTGCCCGTGAATATAATATCGACGATAACGAAAATCACAAAGTGAGGAAAACGAGGAAATTTTAATAAGAGGGAATACCATAGCTTTAGCATAACGCAGCACATGAACAAAAGAGAAAAAACCATTATAATCTTTGTTGTATAAAACGCTAAAATGAGCAAAAGTTTTAGGGGATCGACTGATAGCGAAAAAATAGAAGAAAACAAATTATATAATAACCGTTGGACGTTCGATCACTCGCGATACTTAATCGTCAGTCAGTAATTGCAAAAAACTACACACACGCACACACACACACACACACACACACGCATAATCGGTTATAAGATATGTGTATACATGATTGTGATTATCTATAAATTAATTCAAAAACCAGCGGATGCACACGACACACCTCGTAAATTATACATGATATACATACAATATAATTATAAAAAATGGTAACTAGTTGATTGTAATTATATATTTTTATAATTAATTGATGATAATATACAAAAATGTACGCGAATATATGAATATTATTAGTCTTACTAGGTAATGTGTGTATCTTATATCTGTTGAATTTGATGAATAAAAAAATAATTAAGGGAGAAGGATTGATCTTCTTACTTATAAAGAATACTATAAACATGTGTGTGTACGTGTGTGAGTGTGTGCATAATCGACTAGACAGAAGCCGAGAAACCAAAAGCAAACAAAAATTGAGAAAGGAAGACACGCATTTCGGCAAACTGAGAACTTTATTGCTTGTGATCGAACTGGACATCTTTTTTTTTTGCAAAGTTACAAAGAAAAAAACATCGTCGACGATAACATAACGATAGTGCACCTTGCGATTGTGCTAAACATACATAAATAAAAAAAAATTATAATATACGTGAAGTTGAGATAAGAATCGTTAAATTTTCAAATTTTTAGCTAAAAATGATGACGACTATATGTGCGACGATGAATTACTCCCCTTGTTCCACATCCAGCAAAAAAAACCATTTTTTGTCGAATATTGACGAATTGATAACGTAAGAAAAAAAATAATAAAATTGTCCTTTGTTATTACCTGAAAATTCCGACGCCCTCCCCCTTTCATCCTTCCATGATGATACTAAAAATAATGTAATTGCACGAGACGATTGTACAATTTTTCGAGATGAAATCGAAAAATATAAACAACTGTTATTACGCATCCAAGAGAAAATACAACTTAGTTTCGATTTCTTGCGCATTTTTGTCTGTGGAACTCGAGTTTTGCAGTTAATCTTATAAATGATGAATAAGAAAAAAAAATGAAGAAAAAATATTAATAAAAAACTATGGTTAGGACCATGAAGTTGCATTGTAAAATATTAATATTAATATATTATAATAAATTTACAATAGTTATAACAAAATCGTTAGAAAATTTATTGATCAACCCGACCAGAGTTAACGTTATTCATTATTTTTATAAACGTTTTTTTTGTTTTGTTGTTTCATTTTAACATTGATCACAGCTTTGGACTCTTCAAACGGACATGTTGAGGACGTTGGTGGTGGCCAAGAGCCTCGTCACGGTCGTCGATAATTTGAAGGAGATATTTTTCATGCACAGACGTGTCTTGATGCCGGCGTTGTGCAGCGCGTAATTGTATATGTCGCAGTAGAACTGAAAACACACATATTTTGGGATTTTGGGTGAGATTTTCCTTTTTCGTTACTTTCTTTTTTTTCCACTAGAGAGATAGAGAAATTACCCTGTCATTTTCGTCAAAAGGCTCGGAGCTGAATTCCGGACTGACTTCCGAGCAATTGACGAGGGACGTGCGGAAGGGCGTGACCAGCACGATTACGTTTGATCTCTTTAAAGTAGCGGAGTCAGAGAGGGACGAAAAAAAAACACAGAAAAAACATAGCGCATTAATCTTCGCCGTCTGCAAAGTCAACGTGTTTGTGCGCGCGTGTGTGTCCGTGTTAATGTCTCTACCTCTTTGGCGACGTTTCCGTGAACCTCTTTGAGCTGCATGACCATTTCCCGGGGCCCGCGGCCCGCGTTCCACCTCGACCACGAGAAAACGTAGGCGGTCGACAGCAAGCCCATGCAGGCCTGCAGATGCCGACTCGAGACTGGATGCTTCACCACCATGCCCTTGAGATAGCTCGAGGCGTCCTGCTCGGGAAACACGTCGCAGCCCGCCGCCCGCATTTTCTATATGTATATATACGGTAAGAGAGCACATTGTAACGGTTTTATAATAAAAGCTCGAGCAGGTAGAGTTGCGCAACGAACACAAAGCAGTGCTGCTACTGCTGAGAAATTGTTCGTAACAAAAAAAAGAAAAGAAAATAAACTTACTTTAACGAGTTCGTGCAACTTCATGAACTGGCCGGTGATGTCTTTCAAGGTCGTTCCACCTCCGACAATCGAGTTCAAACACACCAAGTCCTCCTATGTACACAAAAATAACAAAAAAAAAGAAAGAGCGACGCGCAATAGCGTCGCGTCGAATAAATTGACGGCGCGATTTAAATTTTATTTCGGCGCATAAATAATACATATACAAACGGTGAATTTAGTTTCCCTAAAAAAAGATAAGCTTATTTTGGTCGCACCGCGCTTGTATTGGTAATAACGAACGTAACGCACACCTTGACGAGCAGCTCGAGCTGTATTATGGCGCCGGTGATGTTGAGGGCCACGGCGCCGCTGTGCGACGCGGGCTTCAGCTCCCAGCTCTGGAAGGGCAGATTGACGTAGCGACAGGCCGCCAGGCCGTGCAGACCCAGCCGACCCGTGCGAAACTGTATCTGCTGCTTCTCCTCGTTGTACTTGATGTCGTGCACGTCCTCCGTGGACCAGACTCGCTCGTCCTCGAGCCAGTGGGCAACGAGCGGCGGCTCGAACCACAGCACCGAGTCGGGTAGTCTAGTAAGTAAGTGAAAAAAGAAAAACACGAGATCCAATATATCGCGTGTCGAATAAATAACGAAAGTAGCAATGTGCATGTATACTTGATAGTGACGAGCACGAGTAGCTCCATGGCAGCCTCGAGGGCTTTAATCTCGGCTTCGATGACTTCCGGCGTGCGCTCGTGATCCGGCGCCGGGGGTGGCGCTTTGTACGGCCTCCAGAACTCCACGTACTCGAGCTTCTTCGGGCCCTTCACTGTCAAAGAGAGGCACACACAAAATTTAAATCTCAAAGGCTCTGTGTGTGTGTGGGTGTGCAATTTCAAATCTGTGCGCGACGATCGATATAGCCTCTACATACACACAGAGTATAAAAGAGAGAGAGAAAAAAAGTGAAGAGTTCAGAGGCCTTACGAGTAGTTATAGTGCAGCCGTCGCCGAGGTCCTTGGGCTGGGGCGGCTGCCTGAGCAAATCGATCCGATAAATTCCGCCGAGGATCGCGTATTTGCGCAGGTTTATCTCCGTCTTTTTGCATCTCGTAAAGAGCAGCCTACGAGTCTCCTTTCTTATATCCTCTGCAGCAGCGAAGAGAAAGAAGATGATGGAAGAGCGCGATTACTCTACTCTTTTTATCTCTTATAAATAATGCATCGTCTATCTATCTCTATATATCTCTCGGGCTCGAGATAAAGCGACGACCGTCGTCTATGCTAATGCACTCGGTTACTATTTATATACGTACCTTCCGTCTGGGCGACGATCTCCTCGGGACTGGCCAATTGTTTCTGCTGTGGCTGCTGCTGCTGCTGCTGCTGCTGTTGGGGCTTCTTCTCTTGCTGCTGCTGTTGCTGCGGCACCAGAGGCTCGGCGCTCTGAGTCGTCGTCGGCGCTTCCGTTGGCTGAGGGTTGGTCTGCTGCTGTCCACCCTTGCCCTTCTTCTTGCCGCGCTCGGCTTTGCCGTGGCTGGCCTGGGGCGGATTAATCATGCGCTGGATCAGCGAGCGCTTCTCCTCGAGGCGCTCCTCGCGGCTCGCCCGCTGCTCGTCGCGCAGCTCCGTCAGCCGGTAGTACTCGTTGGCGCAGAACTTCAACAAGTCTGAAGATTAAAACGTTCGAGAAAAAAATACGGATCGATCGCGTATTATTATGTATATTATATACCTTTGTCCATGCGACATCGCGGCGGCAGGCTCGGCATCTCGTAGGAGGCCGTCTTATCCGAGTGGTGATCGTAATCGAGGCAGAGGGCCCTCACGGCGCAGCCGTAGCAGTCGACGTCGAGCGGCATCTTGATCGACAGGCCGACCTCCTCGAAATCCACTTCCGCGGCTTTTCTTCATCGTCGTCGTCGTCCAAAAGCTCGCATTAATGAAAAATCGATTTTCTCTCTCTCGACTCTCACTCGCCACTCACACTCACCTGTCCTTGTCGTATCTCATGCTTATGGGGAACTTGATGAAGATCCAGAAGCAGAGCACGAGGGCCGCCAGCCTCTTGTGGTATCGGGCGTTCTTGAGATCGACGCGCTCCGTGTTGGCGTCGAGATGGCTCAGCAGGTCGTAGCTCGCCCGATCGATCCAGGCCTGCAGCTTGTCGCGAAACGCCTGGCGCACCTGCACGTCATTCTCCTCGTTAGCCGCTGAGCGGACACGACGCGTTTCTACGTCGTCGTCGTCGTCGTCGTAACGTACTTGCTCGGAATTCTCGCGAAACTTGGCGGACCCGGCCGACAATCGCTGAAGCTCGCTGCGTCGCTGCCTGCGCCTCGAGCGCGCGATCACATCGTCGAGCTTGTCGATGAGGTAGCAGGCGATCTCGCACTGCCTGGCCAGCGAGTCCATGTTGGCACGGTCGTCCTCGAGCGACCACAGATGCAGATACGAGTTGAGCTGGGGATGATCGCGCGCGTCCGGCAGCCCGTTGCAGTCGAGGTACTCGGCCCACTCGGCCTCCGCCTGGCAGTAGTTGTCGTAGTCCTGGTAGGCCTTCTCGCGCTGCTCGATTCTGTGCTGGGTCTTGAACAGCTGGACGCGGCGCTGCTGGTGCTGCTGGTGCTCGACGCGCTCCTTGCGCTCCGTGTTGCTCGCCTCGGCCTCGATCTCGTCCAGCAGCTGCTTCACGATCTTCGCCCTGCGTTGGAAAAAAGAGATAAAAAATAGAGTATCGATCGATGAGAGGATGGCTCTTTTTTTTTACTTGTCGTCGACTCGTTTATTCTTGTCGGTCTGCGCGGGCGCGTCCACGTAGCTCGCGAAAAATTTAATCTTCTCCAGGCACTCGCTCAGATTCATCATCATTTTGCCGCTCGTTTTATTTTATTTTATACAAAGTTAACACACGCGGGCGCGCGCGCGCTTTAATCGTATCGACGAGGCGAAAAGCTCATCTTGCCAAAGGCACAGGAGGCTATAATCTAATATACACGTATGCGCGCGATAGAAGTTGGCCCGAGGCAGAGGCACTCCTGCGGCTCTTCTCCTCTGCCTCTGTAAATGTACCGAGAGAACGAGAGAGAAATTCGAGTTCGTCGATCCGGTCGTGTACGTGTACGAGTACGTACGCGGCAGAGGGATGGTGTTGGCGGCGGCGGCGGCGGCTGCCAACAACACTACACCACCACGACTACCATACACACGTGTATAGGAGAGTCTTATACCCTTTCGCGTTCACGGAAATTCTCTCTCTCTCGCTCACGGGCGATAACGCGGAGGTATAAGGGGTATATATGTATACGTGCATGCAGTTAGCTACTAATACCACGAGTCTGGCGCGCGCATCAGCAGCAGCAGTAGTAGTAGTCGCTTTTGTTGGTAGTTAGGTGGCCGAGCATTAAGCCTCGGATATACGTGTTATAATGCCTCGCTTGAGTGGGAGGAAGTGCAGTAGTAGCGGCAGCAACGTTGGATCGCAGCCAAAACCGTGTATACGTGCGTATATGAGTATGTGAAAGACGTCCGCAGTGATAGGCGCGAAGAAACATGCACACACATACATACGTACGAGCACTATAGCGAAGGCATAAATGCATGCGCATTGGTAAACCAGTGGAGGAGAGATCGATCGACGATTTACTTTTTATTTTTGTTTTGCGGATCATCGCTCCGTCGTAAAATAAAATCAACTTCTCTCTTGCTGTATTCGAGAAATCTCTATCCGATGCTGTGCTGGATTTTTCGTACGAAGAAGTCAAAATAAATAAATAAATAAAGCGACGAAGATGCCTAGGCGATACGTAGCACTTTTCGTAAATATTTATATGATAATGAGGCTACGCGTTTATTTCGAGATAACGGTCTGTGTGACATAATTACAGCATACCATCGATGAGATGCGAAAATCCCCGCGCGCGTTACTTAACAGCCAAAATTTTACGAGCTTTAGCGTGCGCGCGGGGGCGTACATAATACGCATTCGGAGCTTAGCAGTGGTCTAGTGCACTCGCATTATAAGCGTTAATTTACCGTAACAACTTCTCTCTCTCTCTCTCTCTCTCTCTCTATTTTCTCTGCAGAGAGAGAGAGAAAGATGTGTCTATTTCGAGTGGCTGCATGTAGCCGAAGCAATGCAGCGAGCTGCTGATGCTGTCACGGTGGTCTCTATTTTTTTCGGTAGGGTAAGATGATGGCCACAATAATACGCAGACGGATTTTCTCGCGCGATGTGTGTCACACCGACCACGAGCCAGCCTCGGAGCCTCGTCCACAGCCACACATAGCAGCGAGTGCGAATAATGGACGATGATTAATGCTCATGAGTTTGTTTGCACAAGTTCGAGAGAGAAAATCGCCTTTTCTCGTCTATCCGTGCCGTGCGTATTATGCGCGGATATTTTGAGACGCGCGCGACTCGGAGGAGGCGTGTATACAATAATCTTAATAATAATGAAAAGTGTATACGAACGAGCGACGATGCCTCGCGTCTCGTTGCGTTGTTATTGTTATTGTTGCTGTTTTCGCGCGCCTACCGCAGTCGGTTACTGAACTCGACCGCGCGCATGTTAAAATGTGCATGTATACGAGAGCCACAGCCAGAGACATTTCTCGTGGGCGAGAGAGACAGCATAGTTGGAACGCCGAGAATCTCTATAATGTCTCTCGTCCGACAGCAAAGTTGATGATGACGACGACGACGACGATGCGACTGTGTTTCGGCTACTTTTACTGTATTTTATTTATAAAACTCGCTACTTTTACTAAACAGAACTACGGAATAAGCGAAGTATGGTAATCTAGACGAATACGCGATGCGTGCGTGCGTGCGTGCGATACTTACTTTTCGTGTTCCAGTTCCTCCGCTTCCTCGCTGCCGGCGGCGCCGCCTCCGCCTCCGGCTTTGTCGCCACCGCCGCTTTTTGACATTTTGCCCTTTTTCTTGCCGGTCTTGCCCGAGATCGCGGTGATGCGCTCCTGCGTGGATTATAATATAAAATTTCTTTATCTTTCGAATTGGAATATGAAAAACTTGTGTGTGTATGTTAATGAAAAAGTGCGCGCGAGAGAGCGCGAGATTGGACAATTTTTCGTTCGACGACGTGAAATAGAAAAATCCATTATCAGAACCCCGGATATTCGTCCCGGATTTTTTGTCACGAAGATTCTCAATCGAGAATCTCATTATTTTCCTTCCCTATCATTTTTTTTCTCTCTGTCCTCGCTCGAACATCGAAGAGCTTTCGCAAGCTCGATCTCTACCGCCGCTTTCGAGTTCGTTCAATCGAAAAAAAAAAATGTAACATAAAAACACACTCAAGTACAAGGACATCCTGGAGTTTCGCGATCAGCTCCATGAATCCGGGCTTGTCGTCCGCCCCGCCGGCATCGTGCGCTCTTTCCACGTCCTCCTCGTACTCGACGTACTCGTTGGCTTTGATTTTCTGCTGCTGCGTCGAATCGTCGTCCTTTTTGCCGCCGCGTCCCTTTCGCGACTTGACCGAGCGCAGAGTCTTGCTGTCCGGATCGCCCGACTGTTTTTTATCGGTCTCGTTGGTATCCACCGCCGCGTCGCGCTTGGAGTCCGCATCGTCGCGATGATCATCATCGTCGTCGTCGTAATCGTACAAGTGTTCCCCGTCGTACGACTCGACGCCCTCGAAATCGTCCGGTACAGTTGGTTTCTGCTGCTCGGCATCGAGGATCGCATCTAGATCCTCGCCTTCGAACTCGTCGCCCTCCTCGTAGGAATCCTCCTCTCCGTCCTCGTACTTCTCAACCACTTCACTCATTTTTTTTCAACCGATTTTTCCAACGTGCGATATGCGCGCGTGCAACGAACGTAAACAATTCGTAAACGAGAGGTTAGAGTTTGTCAACTCTCTTGACGGAGCGCTATACTCGATCGATGTTGCGACAGGCAGTCTCTCGAACGTCGAAAAAGGAGAATTAATTCGAATATGCCGTCATGTGTGTGTGTGTGCGTGTATGTACTGCAAAGCTCGTCGAAATTTTCCCATAGTCAGGTGCTCGTGCGCTTAAATCTCTCGTTCTCATAATATCCAATTTGCCATGATACGACGAAGCTTCAGCAGTAGCAGCCGAGAGAGAAACTCGAGTTCTCTCATTAGTGTATTCTCGAGCTTGGTCCCCTCCCGTGCATATATCTGCTGCGCACGGATACACGGTACTACAATATATAACGTATATATATATAACGCTGCATCGCTTCTGCTGCCGTTGGAAAGATGAGTATATATGAATGATTAATCGTCGCTCGGGTAAATTAAATACGCGGGCCTAATCAGGGCCGACGTCGTCGCCCTCGGGGGCCAAATGTGTATACGTCGTCGCGAGAGCAGAGCAGGAAGAAGAAGCGGCAGCAGCTGCTGCTGCAGGAGCCATATAGCAAAGAGCAAAAGGCTGGGGAAATTATTTCGTCCTGCGCCTAGAGTCTGGCGCACGATGAACTTTGTAATGAGTTCGTATGTATTTAAGTGTAACTCGGCGCGCGCCTCGTCTACGTATATTGTATCCTCTCGTCGACGACGTCTGCATTTATATATATATCTATGAATTACATAGAGTTGCCTGCGCATCTTCAATCATGTAGTATGTACGCGCGAGCTCGTTTGTACATTCAAATATCATATATATACGATGTTTCGCGCGAGCTTATGTCTCTCCGCTGAATTCTTGTATACATAGGTATATAGGTACGCAAGCTCGAGTTCTCGAAGTTTCATGGTTCGCTCGCCAGTTGATTCCGAGATGGATTTAGAGAATAAAATTGAAAAAGTCGAATACCTACGCGCGCGCGCGCGCGATGTTGTTCTCGATTCGGCGGTGCGCGTCTCTTTCACGCAAGCGAGCTCGATCGTCGATCGCCTGCGCGATCGATATGCATAATCAATGAGGCCAAATCGTGTGCGCGGGGGGACCGCCGCCGCCTTTTGACCCCGCGCGCACGCAATGTGTGCGCAACTCTTCTTTTTGTCTATCTCTCTGTGTGTGTATACGTGTGTGTTACACGCGCCAAAGCAACTTCCTGCTTTTACGCCGATTTACACCGTGTCCGTGCGTGTACGTTTATGTATGCGTGTGTGTGTGTGTGTTCGGTAGAACAGTGTAACGAGCGGCGATCGCAAAGTCCAAGAATTAATTCGTCGATTTTTCGTCGTCGTCGTTGTCTTTGTCTGCGTTTTCCGGTTTGCATCGTCGCTGCCGCGAGAGCCTAGCGGAGCAGCGGAGCAGTCGGTGAAAGAGCCTCGACCGAGGAATTTTGATACGATCGCGCGCTGTGCTCTTCGTTAACAACACCAACGACGAAAAAAAAAAATAAGAAGAAGAAGCGAGCAGCGGAAAAATAGTTTGTACAGAGTGATCGTTTTTCGGTAATACAACTGTGCGAAGAGCCCCGAGAGCTCGTGCGGTGCGAGAGTGCGTTCAATATCACACGAGTTAAGCGCGGTGAGTAATTTTTTCAAAAAGTCCGATGGTTTTTTTTTGCTCGCGATTTTATCTATAATTAGATGTTACAAAAATGACGAATGGCCAATCGATATAGATTTTCCAAGCGCCGCCGCGGCTCGCAATACCATCGTCAGCAGCAGCATCGAAATGGATCCGAGCAATTCCATACCGACGTTCTTCGCCGGGCGCAGCGTCTTCGTGACCGGCGCCACGGGCTTCATGGGCAAGGTGCTGATCGAGAAGCTGCTCTGGTCCTGCCCGGACGTGCGCGAGATCTTCATGCTGACGCGGCCGAAGAAGGGCGTCAGCATCGACGACCGGCTGAGAAAGATGCTGGCCTTGCCGGTTCGTACACTATAAAGATATCTTCATCGAAATTATCAGTCATCTCCCAAATTTTTTTTTCTCTCTCTCTCTCTCTTTAGCTGTTTGACAGGCTACGCGAGAATCGGCCGGAGGCCTTCGAGAAGCTGATCCCGGTGCAGGGCGACGTCGCAGCCGAGGGCCTCGGTCTGCCCCCCATCGAGCGACAGTTCCTCATCGATCGCGTCTCGGTGATATTTCACGTGGCGGCGAGCGTCCGTTTCGACGATCCGCTCAGGGATGCCATCTTCCTCAACGCCCGCTCGACTCGGGACGTGTGCATATTGGCCGCGAACATGAAGAGGCTCGTGGCGCTGATGCACGTCAGCTCGACCTACAGTCACACGGACAAGTACGTCGTCGAGGAGGAGCTCTATCCCTGCGAGGTCGACTGGAAGAAGGCGATCAAGATGGCCGAGACCATTGACGATCATACGCTGAGGATCTTGACTCCCAAGTGAGTGGATAATTGACGTCGATGTACAAAAGCTTGAGTCTTTTCACCCTTATCCTAATCGACAGATTCATGGGCTCGTTTCCCAACACCTACACGTTCACCAAGCGTCTAGCCGAAGCCTGCGTGGCCGAGTACGCGGGCATCCTGCCCATCGTCGTGTTCCGACCCTCGATCGTCATCTCCTCGATGGCCGAGCCCGTGCCCGGCTGGCTCGACAACTTCAACGGCCCGGTGGGCATGATGGTCGGCGGCGGCAAGGGCGTGCTGCGCGTCACCTACTTCGAGAAGCACAACTCGGCGGACTTCATCCCCGTGGACATCGCCATCAAGGCCATGATCACGGCCACGTGGAAGCGCGGCATACGCACCATCACCAGCGATCCGCGCATCGACGTGTACAACTGCTCGTCGGCCGACATCAAGAGCATCAGCATGGCCGAGATCGCCCAGATGGGCATCTCGTTCACGGAGAAGATACCGCTCGAGGACATCATCTGGATACCGAGCATCACCATTGCCACGAACAAGTTCACGTTTTACTGTCTGATGATGGTGCTGCATCTGCTGCCGGCGCTGCTGATCGACGGCGTGCTCAAGCTCGCCGGCAAAAAGTCCATGTGAGTGACTATTGTGGATATACACGAATGACGGGGGAAGAGGGATTTTTCATCGTTTTTTTTTCTTCCTTACAAATAGATTGGTGAGGCTTCAGCGAAAGGTTTACGTTGCCAACAGCGCGCTCGAGTACTTCTTGACGAACGAATGGAAGTTCAAGAATCAGAAATTGCTCGACCTCTTGCAGTGCACGCCGCCCTCGGATCTCGACTCGTTCGGCTTCGAGTACGCCACGTTCGACATACACAAGTACTTCCAGTAAGTCCCCTTCCCTTCCATTTACTTTTTCACCTTTTCAACGTTCAATCGTTATTTATTTGTTATCGTGTTTTTTTTGTCGTCGTCCATAAGGAATTGCATCATCGGAGCGAAGAAATACCTGCTGCACGAGGATATGAATAGATTGCAGGAGGCCAAAGTACACTACGATCGGTGAGTTTCTTTCTGTTTTTATTTCTCGTTGTTGTAAACGAAGAAATAAGATAAAGCTACCCGCACACGCATACACACAGGAAGCGAAGCGACCAGAGAAATAATATCTCGCTCTCTCTCTCTATCTCGCGGCACAATCCGATTAGTGGAAAGACGAACGAAAAAAAAAAAGAAAGAAAAGAATGTATTACATTCGCCCGAGCGAGACTATGCCAAGACGAAGACGAAGGAAAAGTGTACATGTTACGTCTATATATACAATTCGTAAGCCCTCTGACCTGATTTTCCAGCTACGTTCTCCTCGGCTACGCTCGGGACATTGGATAAACTTCTCTCTCTCTCCCTTCCGTGTGCTGATTTTTTTTTCTCTCCCTCGCTTTTCTTCTTCGTTTTATTTTTCGTGCTGCAACGACGACTACGACGACGACGAGAAGTTATAAAGCTCTTCAAGCTCCTGCAGCAATCGAAGGTATTACCCGAAAGTCAAAAAACACACAGCAGCTGCTGCTGCCTGGAACGACGCGTAATTTACGATAATTGACCCATTTGAACTTGGCCAAGTCGAGCACACCTTTATACGCGCACACACACACGGAGACAATCACGGAACACACATTTATATAACAGCGCCTTTTGCCTGATCGTTAACTTCAATTTTACTTCCTAAATGAATTCTTCTTGGCGCGCGTGACGAGCGACATTAATAAAGCGCTAAGAAGAAGGAGTAGAAGATGAAGAAGAATAAAAAAGAACAAAGGCGCGCGCGTGTGTGTGTGTGTGTTACTCGAGAGCGTGCGAGAAAAAAATCATAAACTCGATAAAACACTTAATATCGAAAAATCTGTTCTCCGTGTACGAGCTAAGCATGTTTCGGAGCTTTCGCGAGTGCAAAGAATCTTTATGCAGTTATATAGTATGAAATACGTGCTGTATCCTCGAGAAGGCACTTTCTTCAAAAGCCAAAGCACTCGAGAGAAACAAAGTCGACGTCGTCGTCGTCGTCGTCTTCGGGCCAAGTGGGCGTCTTCCACGGCTCCTTTCGTTTATAATATATTATATACATGTATATATACTGTTACTATATACATTGTCGCGCTCAGCAGCAGCGGCAGTGGCAGGCCGGACCTTTAACCGATATTGACTTATCAGGCATCTATGCTCTACTGCCGGAGCTGTTCCGATGTCACTGCGAGGGAAGCATGAGCGCAAAAAAAAGGAAGAAAGAAAGAAAGATTCCTTCCTTCTTCTTTCTTTTTTTTTCTTCTTTCTTCGGTCGTCTCTTCGTCGGACGACTTCGTTGGGAGTCCTTTATATTTCATTCCTGCCACACGACCCACACCCACGAGTCGTAGGACGTATAATATACCCACCCCGCCTCCTTTTACACACCGTTTGATCGATCTCTCTTCGTTGCCGCGCTGCTACTGCTGCTATGCAAGTTTGTACGTATGTGTTGTGTGCGTGTATAGGCACGTTATACAGCGCGCCTGTGTGTAACTGGGTCGCGCTCCTGGGTTATATATACGTATAGCGGCAAAGTGTCTGGCACGACGCCCTTTTGCCACCACCGTTACCCGAAGCTTTTTTATACTCGCTCTTAACTTCCGGAGAATATCAGTTTTTCTTTTCTTCGCTGAGCTTCTTCCTTCTTCTTCTTCCACTTCTTTTCTTTTTTTTTTTATTTCGACACTCGCTCTCCCTCGGACTAATTGTTTGCCTTCCATAATATCTCTTTCAACGACGACGAGATCATAAGCTCGACGGAATTTTCAACTGGAATATAGCATGTATGTAGTGAAACGTACGAAGTGCACAATTTATCGATAAAAAAAGAGAAGAAAAGAGGTGGAGGATGGCATTTATGCTAAAACGTGCCTGTGTTTCACAAAATAATGCCGTAATGTATATAGAAAGAAGATGCCACAGCCGCCAAAGTTTTACATTGTCTTCAATATATAATATAGACCCACTGCCGACGTGCCGAGAGCACATGCGAGGCTGCTGCTGCTGCTTGTGTACATACAATCGACATTCGATGCACGAAATACGAAAGAGGAAGAGAATACAGCACGAAGTGCACGCCAACTCGAGCATTTTATACATTACGTATTATGTGGATCTTTGAATATTATACAGTTACAGTTGATGCGAGCAGCAGATGACGGCGCTTTTTTTTGTCCTCCTCCTCGTCGTCGTCGTTGTTATATTCCACTAAATAGGAAATTAAATCGATAGTTTTGTGGGTAATTCCGTCGATTTTTTTCTTTCTTTCTTTCTTCTTTTTTTTTGCATTCGATCCCGAGCTAATCGCTACTGCGATCGGATCGCGCTATTAGCTATTCCATCGTGTTTTTTCCGCTACACGGTTTTAGATATTATAATACCGACTGCGTGTATGTGTATTATATATCGTCGGCGTCAGATAAGGCGGCGCGCGCGTTTTCTAGGGTAATCACACAAATGATTTTTGCGCGCTACCGAGCGTTTACAGACGCAGCGCGGCGCGATGACGACAACAAAGTTTCATTAATGCTCCTAAGACGCGCGCGAAAATCGTCACATTTCGTTCTATAAATAACTTAGCGGTTTTTTTTTTTTCATTTTCTCTCTATCTTTTTATACGATGAAAATAAACAATTTTACCTGTCATCGAGCCCCGCATGACAATGCACGCGCGCGCGCGCAGACTCGGAGCTTACATGAAGTCATTCCGATGATCGATAAGAGAGAAAAAAATGCGTAATTTATATATGCACAAGCACATATACGGAGAGCGAGAGACAGACAGACGCACGAATTTTGATTGCTTTTTGAATGTAAAAATATGTTCGACGATTATACATAGCAATTAAACTTTTCGGAGAGATTACGATCTCCGCCTCGAACGTAATTCTGATTTTAACACGTCACTCGCGTGTGATTCTTCTTGCAGAATGTACTGGATCGACGTGATATTCAAGGTTCTCGTATCGATACTGACCATCTGGCTGCTCTATCGTCTCGGCTTCATTGGCAAAGCCGTTCGGCTCTATCGCGCCCTCATGACGGCCTTCGATTGAGACGAAGTAATGAATGAAGAACACACGACCACTAGCAAACGTCATCGGGCAAAGCACATCATCGATGGAAGAAACCATAATTAGCCAAAATCAAGAACAATATTGAATTTCATGTACAAAAATACGAAACACAAAAGAAAAAAAGCAAAAAAAAACAACAGACACACATAATACACGTGTGTGCGTAAGTACGCGCGATGTAAGTGCGTCGATCTCTAATCACTCGCATATAGTTTTTTTTGGCCTCATTTTTAATTTTCAAAAACTAAAAAAATAATATACACACAACCTGTATAGACTCACACAGCGATGTGTACTCTGGCTTTATCGTATTGTGCGTGCGTGCGCATACATCCCCCCGCCTCCGCGAGAGAGACCGGGCGATTATCATCGATTAACGCGCTATTATAAACTCTGGATGTACGCACCGTTTAGTACGGAGATAATAATTAACGCGTACGAGAATTGCGTACGCGCGAGCACGCACAATACGCCCGATGACGTCTTTTATAGATTTTAATAATTTCGATCGTATACACATGTTACCCCGCGATTCGTGCGTTAGAGAAAAATTTGTATAAATTTAGAAAAACAAAATGCAGCACACTTTTCGCGCTCGCGTAGTTATCATCTATATACGTCAGTGCGAGAAAAGCGGGTATAAAGAAACGTAAAAAATGTGGATTTTTATTAATAAATACCTCTCGCGCGCGTAAATACATGTGCGTAATACATATAACCGGTATGGTGTACCCGCCACAGCCGTCGATGTGCAGCAGCGCGCGTCAATTGCGGCGCACGTGTGCAGCGTGTACCATCTCTCTCTACTATGATTTATGTGCCGATTGAAAAATCATATCCTCGCGCGGCGGTGGTTCATATATATATATAGATAGATAGATAGATGTTACATGTATTATTTTATATCTTACGAGATATATACCTATAAGCTATGTGCAATAAAAATTTTGCCAATATAGAGAATCCGAATTTATGATCGGCGAAGAGTTAAGAGGAGAGGGAGGAGGGAAGAGATATACAACGATGGGTTTTACGCCGACGTGGGTATTAAAAAAAAAATATTGATTCTCTTGACCAATACGTGCATAATATTATGTATTTTCCAGATTTTATGGTAATACCGATCTCTCGCGCGCGACTTTATTTCATAGATACGCGAGCCATCAGTTAATAGCATTATATTGAAAAACGGATAATTACGATATGATTAATCTATTAAAGATCCGCGCGACTTAATGACCTATAAAAATATGACGATCAACGTGTTTTATATATTCATCAAATGCTGCGAAATTCATTTAGAAGACAAAAAAAAGTTCATGCTTATGGATCACCTACATCGATAACATCTGTAAATTATCTCTGTCGATGTATACGTGGTCGAGCGTTGTGGGAAAAACCGAAGAAAAAACAACAATCGGGGAATGCGATTGCAATTCATGCCCAAAATAAATTTTACACCTAGTACAATAGATCTTTATTGTGGTACCCCCGCGAGAGGTGTCGAAGATACACAATATATCAATACAGCGATCGTCTCTCGGTATCAATGGTATTATAGTTTACGTTATTGTATGTGTATGTGTATACATACGTTATTACGCACTCGAGTTCGTACATATGTATACTGGTATCGTGCGTATAATTACGCAATCCGATTGACCCGGCTGTATAGTCTTCGTCGTCGTCGTCGTTGGCGCACAGAGCGGCAGATATATAAATTGGAGCCGCTGCGCGCCGCGCCGGTAATATAGACGCGTGTAATGTCAGCGATGAGTTTGCTGTGTGCAGCTCTTCGGTACACAGTACACACACACAAACACACGACTTATATGTTGTTTAGAATCCGCAACCATTTCTCGCGATTGTTTTCGTTTTCGATCGATTGCTCGATCGATCGATCGTTCTATTTATAGGAGTCGCGGTAATTTATCATATTGGCTCGATTTTTTTCTTGTATGTGCGCGCGCGTGCGCAACGACAACAACAAAAAGAAAAAAAAGAGTAACAAAAAAAAAGAACGGCGAAAATAATTAACGATTCGCGCTCGCGCGAAGCACGTACACCATCATCACCGGTGCATCGTGGCGGGGCCATCGTTCGAGCTTCGGTGTGTGTATTATTGTAGTCGAGTTCGGCCGTGATACAATACAAACGAGGTTCATTCCTGAGTCCGCGCGAACTCACCCATATACACATTGATACGCGAATGATGTAATATTTTCGACGATTATACACACACACACACACGTACATTATACGCGCGCGCTCGTATCGATCGCAAAACGGCCGAATCATAATGTGTATAGGTTCATTGCCGCTCGCGCGCCTCGATTCGCGCAGCCGAGGCGATCTTCATACATTACGCATACGTGTATCGAGTGAACGTTTTGTGGAATTTTCAATGCTTTTTTCATTAAAAAGAAAAAAAACGTGTTTCTGCGCTCGATGCAATTTTTCGCGATCTCGATGCGTATGTATCGTCGTATCCCTCGTTGTTATTGTCGTTGTTGTCGTTGTTGTTACTATTATTTTTTTTCCTCGTCTTCGATCGGCAAGGACATGCGCGCAGCGATATCTTTACGTTCAACCGCGAGCGAGATTTCTGCATAATACGAGCCGAATAATATAATCTTGTGTGTGTTTGTGTGTGTGTGTGTGTGTGTGTGTGTGTATGTGTGCATGTGTCACGTAGTCGTGAGCCGGCTCTCTCCGTGGCGCAAAGGCAGCTCTCAGTCGTTGACCCTGTTCTCGTATTAAATGCACACATATACGCGATACCGATCGCTACGCACGGGACGAATCCGCGAGGCGGATATAATATATACGTGCATTCGAGATACGCGTAATTTTTGGGCATGTATGTATTCGAAATTTGCTCGTGTGCGTACTGCGCGGGGCCTTTACCACCTCCGTTTCTCAGTTTTTTAACTCGATGACGATGATGATGATGATTCCATAAGATCACTGCAGCATAAAAAAAAGAAGAAGAAGAAGAAGAAGAAGAAAAAGAATGTAAAAAAGAGAGAGATAACTCCGGTTAAGCTCCTAATATCCCCACTTCCAGAAACAAGACTATATACGTACACAACTAAACTCACACACACACACACTGCTGTACATATCATATGAAGAAACTCAACGTCTTCGTCTGTCGTCTCCGTCCGTCGTCGGCATCATCATCATCATCGTCGCCGTCGGAGTAAGAGGAGGAGGAGGAGGAGGAGAAGCGATACAGAGCCGTGGAGAGGCCTCACATATCGTTACCAGTCATACACTTACGCACACACACACATTCATTTCACTTGGAGTTGGCAGAGTAGGCATTATATATATTATTATATATGTTATTTTCAGTGCGATCCGCGCCTTGCTCCGAGCAACACTTCGTCGTTCGTCGTCGTTGAGCTGGAGCTGGCACGAGAGCTACGCGCGGCCGCATTAAAAAGCAGTCGTCGCGTACAGCGCGTCGCGTCGCGGAGTCGTCTCGTCTCGGCACTCGGCACTCGGCGAATCGGATCGAATCGAAGAGAGATACGGCGATACATACATAATCACGCACACACGTATACGTATGTTTTATAAGCTCGTGATATCCACACAGTTGCACAAGTGAGAATACACGATATAAAATAAAAATAATTGTGAATAGCAAAGAAGTGGAGCTGTACATCGCTTCAAAAAAGCAACATGTGTACAACGAGATGGTGACGATAAGAGCTACATGTATCGCGTGAAACGTGTCTGTGTGTTTGTATATGCGTGTGGTACACGCGACTAATCAATGTTCACTGTGCAGTGCGTATAGGCAAAGTCAATGTGCCCGTGTGTCTCTCATGATCTCTTCTCAGCAGCCTCGTAGTAGTGCAAAAGCTCGTGTATAACAATTGGTACACGACCTATAGGCGCAAATATTATCGCAGCGCACGTGCGTGTCTATAACTCATCGTCATCGTCCGATCGGTGTTGGCGGTTGCGGCGATCGGCCCATGCTGCATTGCGCCCGGTGCACGTGTTACCCACACGGACAAACGCACACACACACATACAGCAGCAACAACGATATCGAGGCACACAAGATATCGCCTGTGCATTGCGCTGTCATTGCGCCGCAGCAGCAGCAGCAGCAGCAGCCGATGTGCTTCTCTCCAAGAGCTGCAACAGCAGCAGTAGTAGTACACGATAAATCCACTGATTATACCAGTACCACTGCTCCCATTGTCGCTGTTTCGCATCGTTTCGTTGTTTTCTAAAGCACAGGTGAGGACGATCATTTATGCGCAGTATAATCATACATTGTACAGATTTTTTATTCGTACAATTACCTTTTTTTCTTATTTTTTATTTTTTATTTTCATTCGCAATCGATGTGTGTGCGAACTGTATGCATAATGATAATTATTTATCATTACGCGCGTGTGTGTGTGTATATGTGTGTGCAGGCCCGAATGCAAGTCGAAAAATCGTGAGCCGTGCGAGCGTGTCGCACACACTCGTACGGATATACATGTGTATAAAACTCGATTAACGCAAAACCCGCTCGCAGCGCGGCGAGGACCGATTATCGCGCGCGTCGTTGCGAAACAAGTGCAGTATAACGTGTGTGTATAAAAAAAAAAAAAAAAAAGAATTCATATATAAACTCGAAACGGCTCTTGTGTGTTATATATATATATAGGCGACATGCGATCATGCGCGCGGCGCGCGTCGCGGGTACATTAGATCGTAAACATCGATCACGATACACACAAGCGCAGTCGTCGTAGTCGTTGCTGCTGCTGCTGCTGCTGCTGCTGCTATACGCGAGGCCTCGAGGGGTACCCGCAGCTCGCTTGCCTGCTGATCGTTAATAAGCTGCTCCGCGTAGCGAAGCGTTATCTGCACCGCGCGCACAGCAGTTCTATTTTAATTTTGCGCATCGGTGTACATACAAAAATAATAATACGAGTTAATTATGACGAGATAGATAGAGACAAATGTGCATAGTTGCTATTTTTGAAAAGTTTTTTCTATTGAAGAAAAATAGTAAAAAAAAAAATTATAAATCTGTTGACGTTTTATCGGGCGATCGAACTGAATAAATGCAGATTTTTTGAAGTGAAACTTCTGTTTCAGATGGTTATATGCAGAGGGGGATGCGTAAATATTTTTTTGAATGCTCTTTTGAAGTTCGGTTTTTAATAATATATGGGATGTATGATTTCTTTCATATGTGAGGCCGGATTTTAGTACGTGCATATGACACATTATACGAGCGAGTCGCGAGAAACACGATTGTGACAATATTTGTGCTCTTTACTGCCTTCTCTCTGTCTTCTCTCAATGTCCCTCGGCATCTTTTTTTTTTACTTCGTTTTTTCTCTCAACTGCAACTGATAAAAAGTTGTATACACAAAACTTTCAGATATATAATATAGACAGAAATTGCAAGGCATTGACAAGTGCAGACGTCCTCCTTCCCTCTCTCTTCGCTGGCATTATATTATTACATGCTAGATTACATTGTATGTGTATGCAGAGCTGCTGCTGCTTCGGTCTCGCGACGCGAGAGCAATTAATTTTGCGCAGAAGTCGTACTGTATCGACAGGTTTCGCTCGCGCGCGCATATTTTTATATTGTGTGTGCATATACACACATATGTGCGAATTCTCACTCTGCTGGAGAGAAGCAGAAGAAGAAGAAGAAGGAGAAGAAGAAGAAGAAGAAGTAAAATGAAAAAAAAAGAAACAAAATACAGTCGTTTCGAGATCAAGGCTCTTTTCACGCGCAAAAGACGCGAGTGCATATTTTCGAGTCTCGACGACGACGCGCGCGAATATAATGATGATTTTGACCGCTACGGTGCAGCTTTTTTGTCCAGTCGCGCAACGCGACGCGTTAGAGAGAGAGAGAGAGAGAGAGGTTATTATAGATCGTGAATTTCGAAAAAATTTTTCTTAAAAACTGTCCATTTGAATATGAGTAGTTTGGAATTTGATTGAAATCTCGTGCTATATAGCCCCAGTTGAAACCAGTTCTGTTCTCACTCCCCTCTCTCTCTCTCAATATTTTTATCACAACGACACGAACGTCAAACGCATGCACACGCAAAAAAAGTGCTCGGGTGAGATAATCCTTTTTTTGCACTCGTTAGTTTTCGTAATGCATGCGCACTGCTCCGTTGCTCGCTCGTTGCAAGCGAGAAGTTATACTTTGTACTCGCGAAGCAAAAAAAAAAAAAAAATTTCGATAAAAGCGTGACCGCGCGCAGCTCGTCTTCGGCTCGATCGGCGATTCATAATTAAGCGCGCGCGCGCTGTAAATCCGCCGTCAAAATTCAATATTAATACGCGTATACAACCTAGGCAGTGCGTATGCTAATGTCGAGGTATACATATACGAAATAAAAAAAAAACGCGTATGATGAATAACGAGCCATGAGATATCTGACCTGAAAAAAAAGAAGATTACGCAATCGAGAAAATTGTATATATTCGAGACCTTGAAAAAGTGAGAGAGAGAGAGAACGAAGCGACTTTTAAGAAATATCATTTTTTATAATAATGAAAATGAAAACAAAAAGTTCGAAATGAAAAAAAAAAAGAATTAAAACCGTGAGGCTTATCTTTTGGACGAAGAGAAACATTAGTTTTTTGACTGGTGCAAATACACTGCAGCCGGTTCTAAAAATATCCTCCGTGCGCGGCGGTGCCGGTGCGGTACAGATACACGAGTATATTAAGATTGAAAACTGGCAAATTTTAAAAATCAATAGAGCCCAACTTAGAATATTACTTCGGAGTGCTCAAATAGACGGTATTACAGGCGCGCGAGCGTATTTTTATAATAAATTTTCAAGGCACACGAGAAAGAGAATATGTAATAAAAAAAAATCATAATGATGTTCGGACGTGACCTCGGACAGGATATTTTTGACTCACGATCTCTCTTTCTCTCTTTTTTTCACAATATTTTTCAATGAAAAAATTGAATAAATAAACAAAAGCTCCGAGCTTATTAAAGCTGTTAAAACTCTCTCTCTCTCTCTTTCTCCCTTCGGTATAGCATAATATAATTCTATCGCTCGACTAGCAGCCCGACGTAGTACGCCGCTGGATTTTTCAGCAATATTATACGAAAGTTGCAGCTCTCGGCGAGCGAAATTTTCCCAAACAATTAGCGAACTTTCTCTATTTCTCTCTCTCTATCCCACCTCGTTTTCGTGGCGGGAGTTTAAATTTAACCCAAGAAGACTCCTGATATAATATTCTAGTTATTTAGTCGTCTCTCACTCACTCACTCACTCACTCACTCAGTCTCTCTCGTTCTCGTATGTGGCGGCGGCCGCCGCGCCGAGAGCGACAAGCGCACGTCGTATAAGTAGCGGCGTTGAAGAATCTCTTAAAGATGCCCGAGTTGTGTAGCGATACACGTGCAGCAGCGCGCATTCGAGCGGTTAAGACGGCGGCGGCGGTAGACCCCCCGAGAAAAGACCATTAAGTAGGGGAGAGAGAGAGAGAGAACGAAAACGAGATGGACAAGATGAAAACTCGGAGAAGATCAGGCATTAGAGTGAAAGAAAGCAACGCGGGGAAAGTTGGGAGGGGGCCGAGTCAGCGGCTCGCAATTAATCGAGCGTGCTTAAAACCTCGGGAGCTTTATTTTCACGTTATACGATCGTCGCGGGGTTTCTCGTAACGCGGTCGATTCTTATTTTCTTATTTTATTTTCGAATTGCAAACTCGATAAAGATTTCCCTTTCGATTACTGGAGAAACGTTGGTGATTCCTTACATCATACTCTTTTCAACTTTTACAATTGACACGCGAGCCTGATGATATTTGAAAAATGTAAACTGGTAAAACTAGATCAAAAATCCCAAGTGCTCTGATTTTATTGCGATCGATCGAAAAAATTTCTCAAACGGGCTGCTGTTTCTCAAATGCAGCGTTCGATATAATATTTACGTGCGCATAGAGTTTCCGTAAATAGCGCATATTGTCGACGCAGCAGGCACAAACACACTCGTCGCGCGACCCCGAGCTTGGCAATGGAATTACGAAAAGAAAGACAACAATTTTTTGTTCGTAATGTTTTCATACGTATTTTCAAGCGCAAGATAAAACTTATGATATTTGACGGGGATTCGCCCGTGTACGAAAGTAGACACGTACGCACGAAATAAATGCATATCACACGGGCATTTATAAACTTCAACACAGTCGCGCGCGTCGCTTAGCATATATAGCGAGGCGAGAAAGAGATCGGAAACGAGTCTAACCGGTTCGCAATTATTATATTACGTTCGTTCGGACATATGTGCCGGTGGTGGTGGTGGTTGAAGCTCGACATTCGAATGTAATGATGCGCGCGCGCGCGCGCGTGTGTGCAATGCCGCGCACATGGTCATCATCGTCCGCGAGATGCGACCGATGATGTCTCACTTTCGAAACGACGCGAGGGTTCGCGCTACTATCTGTGTACTATTGCAAAACGCACTGAGAGAAAGAGAGAGAGAGAGAAAAAAATGAATTAAAAAATTAAGAACGATATTATATGCACGCAGGCAACAGAAACAAAAAATCATTAATTCCGTTTTATTGGACGTGTTTTTACGCGCGCGCGCGCGCGCTTTCGTATTCATACCTGATCTGATAAGGGTCACCTTCATGCCCAAGTTGACAACAACGTTGTGCAGTTTGTATGTGTGTGTGTACGCGTGTGTACGTGCATTTCTCGCTTATACTCGAAAAAGTTCTCGGAACTTAATTTCAGAAATTCGGAGAAAAACTCGTGCTCGCGCGCTTGAGCCGCGATTCGTGTTTATTTTTTCGTTCAGGTTCAAAGTACGACACGACAGAGAGAGCGAGCGAGAGGCAAGACTTTTTTTTTATCATTGTAAAAATTTGATAACTTACAATTGCGAAACGCATATATTTATACTCTCGCTCTCTCTCTCTCTGTCTCTGCAAAATTTTGTTATAATTCCACTTCATTTTGTAACTCGAACTTATCGAAATCGCGGTACGGGCCGCGCTTTATCTAAGACAAAAAAAAAAAGAATAACGAAACGTCGCGATTATATCGAAAGTAAGGATTTTTTTCTTATTTCAGTCGTTACAGTTACAACGTATCGTTCTCGATTGCATTATGCCATNTTTTTTTTTTTTTTTTTTTTTTTTTTTAATAAATCATCCGTCCCCTGGACTAGACCGACAATTGTGCAAACACGCGATCAGCTTCTATGCCATTATACATGCCGATAAAACGTTTTAATTTTAAACGGGGCATATAATGCACACACACATACAAGCGTAAGCGAAATAATAATTGCTTAGTTTGCCGTGCCCGCGCGCGATAAATAAATAGCGATTAAACACTTGTCAAATATATCATTGTTTATGAGAGCTGATAATGAAGCGCACGTAAAATTTTGCGTGTGTCTGTGTACGTTGGACTTATCGAAAAGTTCATTATTTTGCATTTTAAAGTAACCCCCCTACTCGACTCTCTCTCTCTCTCTCTCTCTCTCTTGGTTTTAAACTGGCGCGGCAATTGATTCGCCTCACGCGCCGCGCGAAAGAACAATGAGCCGTCTCGAGCCTAGATTTTCACGCGCGCCCGTGATCGTCGCGTTTGTTATTCATACGATGTTGTTTTATTTGCGAGGAGAGAAGGAGGCAACAGAGAGGATTAAGAGAGATCAAATGAAATATAACATAGATAGGTCGAGGGTAAACGGTACGTACGTATATACGCGCAGACGATCTCGAGACGTTGATTTATTATTGCGCGCGTCCGTAAAAATAGATCTTTATTGTGTCAGGTAAACTTCGATGTAAACTAGATCTAGAAGTGAATTTTTCCCTATTAGCCTCTGACGACTTTGTGTGAGTTAGGAAAATTAGCTCGTCGTTATTCTACGTACAGAGAAAAACCCAATTTCGATCGCGGCGCGCAGAATTACAGATATTTAGATGCACGCGACGTCGATGATCCGCGCGCGATCTCTATCTGACTTAACGTTTCGGAATTTCCAATCGACATATAATTAACACACATACATAGTTTCTTATCGAGGCACAGAGGCAGATATTAAATCTCGGTCCCCGCGAGATCGTATAATACATGTTTTTTGAATATTTTATAATCGAGCTATGCGCGCAGAAATCAGAGAATTTTAAGAGTCACGTATGGCGGCGCTGCAGCGCACTCACACATACACAAACGATATTAAACAGGTTTTTTGACGAGCCAGTCTAGATGAAGCGAGAATTACACAAAAAAAAAGAATGAAAAAAAATATACACGAGGCGCACGCATGTACGTACAAGATCGTTGAAGAGAGAGAGAGAGAGAGACCTGACAATCATTCATCAATTGGCACGAGAGATATCTCTGTCTCTCGCTCTGGCGCTGCGGCGCGGAAATATATATACAATTTATATTTCTCACAACTATGTCGATCGTCGCGTCCAGCACGGCCGGCACGTGACTTTGGAATTCCGTAATTTTGCGCGAGCTCGTCGCTCGTATATAGAAAAATTATAATAACGTAATAATCGAACGTGTTCATAAATCGCCTATAATAATGTAGAACGAAATCGTGGGCAATAATACAGAAAAAAAAAGAAAAAAAAATCGATAGCGCACGAGGTAGTTTTTTGCGCTAGAAAACGTACGTAGTTTTTCTCTTTTTTTTTTTTTTCGCTAATTAACTCCGCGCGCAGTGCTCGGTTGTGCAAATGTTGTGTGCCGCGCGCGCGACTTCAATGCAAGAGAGGTGCATAATATGCATTTTTCTTCAATTTTTTTTCGCGTGCGCTGCGGGTATATAGCATAAAATTAAAGTATTGTATACTATACGCGCGAAACATTGTGTGCCGCGCCGTGTGTGAGAAAACGTGTGATCGTAACGCGACAATTTTTGAATTGACGTCAAAAGTATAGTCGACTACACCGCGGTGTGTCTTTGAGCTCGCGTGTTATGTCCTCGACTGTATGCACCTTACTAAAATATGTAATAATTTAATGATATTTACGTTAATAAGCAAGTTCGATAACGCATTATTTATGTGTTTGTTTCGATATAATACAAATTTGCGTACGTGCGTGTATATCGGCATGACGTATTATAATGTGTGGTAGTGGTGATGGAAACTCGCGGAAAACGTAAATAATTCAAAAGTTGGCGCGCGCACGTGACTCGAGTAATGTGGGTCTAATGGCAATTAATTTTTTTTTCCACATCATCATCGTCGTCGTGATCATTGGCGTCATTATCATTTATATCGTGTCAACGAGGGCGGCAAACGTGAAGTTTTTTTTTTATTTTTTAATTTTTGCTTCGAGTCAAACTACACTCATACCGAGATATATGCGCGAAGTTAAGTACTCACGCACAGACGAGCTGAGTCTCGACTCAATATTTACACACGCCGACGAAAAGACACGTGATCCGTACGCTCTGCGCAGGCGCGCGCGGGGGCCTTTATCTTTGTCATTGAACAATTAAAATAATAAATAAACAAAAAAAAACACATCGATCGGTGCTTGTACTCGGGTGAGCCTGCTGTACACATGACATAAGTTGAGGCGGGGGTTCGAGTATATCTAAAAATTTTCTTTGTGATTTCTTTCTTTTTTTTTTATTTGACTTTGGGAAATTTTTGAATCATCAATTCAACGGCTCGGCTCGGCTCGGCTCGGCTCAGCTGTAATTTGTTGACTTGGCACGCATTAAATCATACCTTTTTAATTGTCAATGCTGTTTTAACGATACGATGATGATGATGATGATTGCCTCGCATGGTCTGCTGCGGCGCGCAGCGGAGCGTAATCGATGCATTTTTCATTCCTTCCATATCCGCGTAATTGCGCGCGCGCGCGGTTAATTATTTTTTGTCTGTGCCTCTCGTCTGAAATAAACTATATATTATATATCAATCAGCGATGATTAACAATAGATTAAATTAGTAATTTTCATCTGTGTAATCGGTTGGCCATATTATTATTCCATCATCGACGATGAACCAATTTTGCAGCTCCGGTGAGATGGCCAGTTTATCGATACTCTATGCAGTTTATTTATCGAAAAACAACATGGAACCGACCCAAGCGCTATTGGATCTCGACTCGACCAGCTACAAGATGTCCGCGATACTGGGCGACTCTACCCTGGTCACCGAGGCGCAGGTCGACGAGCTGATCAAGGGCTTCCAGGGTATTCTCAATTATAACGAAAGCAGCGACGACGACGACGACGATGAAGACGAGCAGGAGGAGAAGAAGAAGGTCGCGACGACGTCAACAGTGGAACAGCCTCTGAGGTTGGACATAGATTTTTCGCGCGTCTGCAGGAGAAAACAACCCGCGTCGAAGAAGAAAGACGACGACGAGGACGAGTCGCGTTACATCAAGAAAGGACCGATCAGGCCGAAAACGCAGCAGCACAATCATCATCAGGCGCGCGAGAAACCCTATCACGATCAAGCGACGAGCCACAACAACAATTGTCAGCAGCAGCAACAGCAAGTTCTGGATACGTCGGACGACACGTCGTCCTCCGACTTCGATTTCGGCGCCCAGGCCATAATGACGGATCCCACCTGCAGACAGCAGATACACGACTGCCTCGACAAGCTCACGGAGCTGAATCAGGACGCGGCCTCCGCCGCTCCGTGGCTCAGTCCGGTGGACTTCTCGGTGAGTTGTTCTCTCTTTTTTTTCTTATATACGCGGCGAACACATTATACACACATACACACACATACATTTTTTAACGAAATTTTCGATGCGAATTCGGTTGAGAGATATGACGATTTTTTGCGTCGATTTAAAGCTTTTGTAATTGAGTATAATATAATTGAAGAATCTGTTTGATGCAACTCCCAGAACACGAGCGCCCAGTCGGCGCTGTATTTGGTATTTGTTCTCTGATCGATGATTTATATTTACTTTTTACGTAACGATTTATTGTTATTTACGATCGTTAATGGTAAAAAAGCAACACTCAATCGAAATCTTTTTGCGCAATCATGACAACATATTTCTGCTGCGCTCCATTGATGATATTCGAATGCAACAGCTTTGTATATTTATTTTTTCCCTTTTTTTTTGTTCAACGACAAGTTCACACGTAGGCGCGTTTATTAATCTATTTGAAAAACAAACGTTGACCGCTCAACCGTATCAATTTTTACGGCTCAATTGATCGGTCAACGTTTGGCCAAAAAATGAAAAGCAAAAAAAAGAATCTGTGCTAATTACAAAATCCGTGTGTGTTGTGCTATTGTAAAATATGTTGGCAGTCACCATCGCACTGGCATTTGTTTATGGAAATGCTGTCCGAGGGTTTGTTGCAAAAAAGCATTGTTGACGCGCGTGGCCACCACCACGACTTACCGCCCCTGCATCACCGGCAAAAAGAACTTGACTGGATAGATAAACGGACGAACTCGAACTCCTCCTTCTTCTCCTCCGTCGTCGACACGTTGAAACCGTCGTTGAGATCGGAATTTTACGAGTCGAGTGGCAACTTATCGCCGATAAGCGACGAGGATTTATTTGGTGACGACGCGTCGGACACATTCGAGGTAAGTTTCAGCTCTCTCTGAATGATGATGGACAGAAAAAAAATGTACCCGCGATTGCTGTATACACTTTTCGTTTCCGTTTTTACCTATACCTCATTCGTGCAATAGCGTCGCATTTTCGTTTGAGTGTTGATTATGATATAGTCATCTCCAAAAAAGTAACACACGAGCACATCTATTTCGAAATCAGGTTGCATCAAATAGAACAAAATCCCTTCGACGTTATTAAAAAAAAATCGGAATCGAAGAGCGATCATATACACACGACAAAAGAATGTTCTGACAATTAAAAGAAGATACTCTTCGAGTTAATTTCATGTGCATAATTAACGAATTCCGAGAGATCTCTTAAAAAATTAATTAACGGTATATACTCTTGCATGCAGATGCCTCCTCCGCGCGTTCAGAGAATTGATAAAATAAAGCGATTCGTGAGAAAGATAATAAGAATTCAGTTTTTACGAAAAAATCCACTCGTCGTGCCGAAAAAGTTCCGTAAGTAAGAAAAATTTCTCTCTCTTAATCGTTGTTGAAATATGTATTACTGCATCGTAAGAGATTAACAATGGGGGAGTACATCGACTATAGTATATATAAACACAAACACGTGTGCGAGAAAGAAAAGAATTAGCCACGAGTCATTGTCTGCCGTGACTCAATCGCTGGCAAAAATTGTACAAATTCGATGAAATCCACGCTAAAAAATGTATGTCATCGATTATAACCGGCCGGCGCGATAAACAAAACTACGCGGCGCGACGGAATGATTTCTGCGAGTCTAGGGGAATAATACGTACTCTGTGCCGATGAAAATAAAAATATATACAAAAGTGACATTAGTCGAGCGCGTGAAACTCTTTCGATATTATTATGAATGGCAGATAAGATTAGTCGAAATTTTCGTACGTTGAGACAATTCTCAACCCACTCGTATCTGAAGAGTATAATATAACGGACCAAATGTGACAGCTATTATTATTGTATACATTATTGTCAAGCGCAGCGCACTGTTATACATATCGATGATGCGATGGAACATCGTGAGTAAATAAATCAAATCATAGAAATCACATATAAAGAAACGCGTCACACTTTTCTCCCCCCGCGCAAATCTTCGCATTCACGATCATGTATATATATCTGACGCCTCTTTTCGCAGGCTTCGCTGGGCGATTTTCGCCAGCCCACCACCCCGTCGTCGATATCGTCCTCGGGACAGTCCTGCAACGGCGCCGACAACAACAATCCCAGTCCGCTGGCGTATCAGCGCTCGATCGAGCCCCACCTCGAGGACGACCTGTGCAGCAGCGCCGCGATGGGTCCCCGTTTCATCGACACCACCACGGCCACTACCACCAACACTAATACCGCGTCGTTCAATTACGTGAATTACGACCTCGTCGAGGAGGTGATACGACACGATCTGGAGCCGAGGAGCATCAGCGGCAGCAACAAGAATACGTTGTCCAGCGCCAAGAGCTCGATCCTCGACTCTTTTCTGAACCAAGACAATTACGCACCGCCGTATCCGAATCACGTGGCTCCCAGTCCGACGACGACGACCACGACGACAACGAATTACGTCTCGCCCGACAGCTATCCCAGGTATCAGAATTGCGCGATGACGACTACGTCGCCCGAGCAGCAGCAGCAGGCCAACGACGTCGCCGGTAGTACTTTGCTCGCTGCCACTTATCACAGTCCGAATCACGGAAATCATTCGCCACCCGTGTCGATATTGTCGCCTGCGTCCGACAGCGCTTACTACAACAACAACAATAACGCGAATGGCTACTGCAGCGGTAGCAGCAATTTGCACTTGTCGCCGAGCAACTGCTCGTCGCCGGGCTCGAATCCGGGCGGAGTCGTCTCGCCCAATTCCCGATCGACGTCGCTCGGCGATCATCACTACCAGTGGCACTCGACGCCCCAGTTGTCCGGTGCTTACTCCTACGCCAAGATGACCTTCTCGCCGGATCCGCAGCTCGACGGCAGATACTTGCCGATGCAGCAGCAGCAACCACAGCAGCCTCAACAGCAGCAGCAGCAGAGCCAGAATTTCTCGCCAAACTCGTGCTCGAACGGGACGAGCTACTCGGTGCCGAGTCTGACGGGCACCCTGTCGCCCCGCCAGGATCCGACCGATCTGTATTACGAGACGTCGACCAAGACGTCGAATGGCAATAGTAGCGGTGTCAATCCGCACGAGCGAGAGACGTTCATCGCGTCGCCGTTAGATGAGCTAGTGCAAGCCGTGAGGCACACCCTGCCCACGCTGGATCGACAAGCTCAGGAATTGGTATAAGAGCTATTAATCAGTTGATTACGAGTGATAACGAACGATGAAACTTTATTTTTTAAGTAATTTTTTTTTTATTTGGATTGTTGTCGTTAATTTAGAACAAGCGATGTTTGAGCATTAGATCCGATGACTTGTCATCTAAAGCGGCGAACTCATCGATTGGTCCTTCGTTCGACAACTTCCCGATTCCCACGACCGTGACGGAATACACGAGCCGCTACAAAAGGTAATTTGGCCTGCGGCCGCTTGTGATTGTCTTTTCTCAATGTTAATTTTGTTGATGTTTATCTTTTTTTTTTTTACTTCGCTTCGGAAGCTATTGACTTGGTAAAAAATGCTCAATGTTAATGATGATCGACTAATGACCAAAAAATGATCGTTTGAAATGTTTTTATGATACATTGCCATTGACGGCCGATTTTTTGACGATTTGCCTTACTGCAATTGTGACCGCCTGTTTCAAAAAATTTTGAACCTGCACCGCCAGATGGCGTATACCTTTAAATCAGAGTATCTGCAAGTGGTAAAGTCAAAATGATTGTATAAGTCAAAACTATTATATGTTAATTACAACTACAATGAATTCGTTGTCATAGAGCTTGCTATAGTTTCGAGCATTTCTACCAGAGTTTTAGTTGAAAAATTATTAAAAAAATAATATCGATATATTGTTTGTTAATTGTTGCGTAAGAGCTAGTCGCGATAAGAGCGTGGGGCAAAATTACAGTGATAGACACTTCTATGAAAGTGTCGAGGCGATTATATAGTGGGCATATCTTATCGTCTTTAACATGTCGGCGTAAAAATGCGACTAGTTCAATGAAATGGCATCGAGCTATTCGTACAATGCGTATATGGCTCGAAGTAAATATTTATATATATATTGGCTGAAAGTCGCGCGATCCATCGAGATGCACAATTTTTTTTTTCGTTCATCTTTGTTTATCTTCAACGATCCGTTTGTTTTATGCCACAGCGCGCAAAAGGACGAGCTGCACTTCGCCAATCCTTGGTCGATGCTGGACTCGCGCGAGATCAACATGTGCCCGAGGCTCAAGGAGCTCATCGATCCGCAGTCGCTCGCCGCCAGTATGCTGCAGGTGCAGAGAAAATCCGTGGACGAGCTCGTCACGCCCGACAAAGACGGTGACACGTGAGTTTCATCCGCGTTAAAAAATGTGTCAATCGTGTCGTCGAAAAGCTGACTAATAATCATTTTTTGCTGTTGTTGTCGTTTCGACAGTCTGCTGCTCCGCTTCATGGGCAACTCGATCGAGCTGCGTCGCAAGCTCGCCTACGTGCCGCCGCTGATCAAGCGCATCTGCGCGATGAGCGCCGATCATCTCACGGTGGAGAACAAGCGCGGCGAGGACGCCCTGTTTCTGGCCTGCGTGCGCAGCCCCCATCTGGCCTTTCTCGCCCGCTACCTGGCCACTCTGTTCGCCCGCAAGAATCCGCTGATCGGCAGGAAGTTTTATCGAATAACCGTGAGTCGTAATTTTTTTCTCTTTTAATTTTCATTTTTACACGAAATTCAAGTGTATAATCGAAAATCTTGGTTTTTCGCGCAGAGATGTTCGTTGCTGCACACTCTTGCGGCTCTGGGTGACAGTCACATCGACGTGATGGCCAAGCTGCTCGAGGCGAGGGACGAGAACGGCTGCCAAATTTTCCACTGCAACATCCTCGACGACAATGGTAAGAAAAAGTCAGAATCGATAAGCTTCCCCTTATGACCAAAATCCTCTCTTTTTTCGGTTGTTAAAATTTTTGACTTAAAATTTGTGCACAAAAAAGCACAAAAGTATGTTAAAGAATTGATAAAAATTTTATAAAAGTTATATCTTTTTTTAGATGTTTCATTTGATTAGAAATTACAGCTGTTTTTGAATAAAAAAATTCATAGTTAGTTATGTCTCGACAAGTAACACAATATAAACTTTATAAACTTTTATGTAGTTCAATTTTCATATGTATTCAAAATTCGACCTTTCGTTTAAAAATTTATTTAAAGTTTATAATTATAGTTACGCACAAATTCGATTTCCGCCGGTGATTAAAATGCAAAAATAATAACGTTAAATTTCTAATCCAGGCAAGACACCGCTGCACATCGCGACGGAGTACCACGAGCGCTTCGGTCCGCGACACAGCTGTGCCAAGACGATACGCCTGCTGCTGGGCTACGGCTGCGCCCCGCACCAGCTCGACGCCAACAAGGAGTCGGCCCTCCACCGAGCGGTGCGCAACACCTGCGACCCGGACATCTGCGAGCTTCTGCTGAAGTCCGCCGCCGCGGCGTCCTCGGCGTCCTCCGTGTCGAGAACGATGCTCCGTCAGGCGGACGTGCGCGGCAACACGGTGCTGCACTACGTCGCGGCGGCCCAGAATCCCCGCGTGCAGGACGTCAGCCGACAGGAGAAGGTCTGCAGGCTGCTGGTCGAGGCCGGGGCGCGCTTCGACTGCAAGAATCTTCGGGGCGAGACGCCGTACGATCTGATACTCGCGGAGCGCAGGGACGCGCTGTTCAGGATCTCGCAGAAGGAGTGATTGGATTTTATTGATTTTTTTTTGTACATTTTTTCGTTGTTGTTGTCGTTGTCGATGTTGTTGTGTAAATAATAAGCTTTTCTCTTTTTTTTTTTTATGATAAACGATAGAGCTTTAAGAGAAGTGTGATTTTTGTAAATCTTAAGAAGTTATATAGGCATGTATAATTGTGTAACGATGAAAAAAAAATGAGCGAGAGCGAGTGGTACCTGCCCGAGAGAAATAATTTTTTTGTTTAATGTATTTCTTATCCGGATTCGACGAATGTATAGTTATGAGTTATCGTGAACTCGGAAGATTTTTCGTAACGTTGTGATAATTAATTGCTACAATTCCTACCCAACGAATGTTATATATTATCGTCTTTTTTCCCCCCTGATACATCGTAAGTGTAAATATAAATAAAATAATTCATGATACTTGGTAAGTCACATTGTCATTAACATTGTATGTATTAGATGAGTGGACTATATTATTGTATATGTCGTGAGATCGATCGGAAAAAAAATTTAGCTTGCGTTATAGTTTAAGTAGAAACGTTTGTATCCGCGAAAGATTCGTATACATACGAATCGACAGTTTTGTTCATACCGACGAATGATTTCGATCGACGTTAACCCGAAATACGCCAAGTGTATCGCGAGAAATGACAATGATAGATGAAAAAAAAAATAATAAAGAAAGAAGAAAATTTACCCCGGACGTCATGTGTCTGTGAGTCGAGCGGAAAAATAAAAAGAGCTTACCAACGAAATCCACGTTTTATGCACCCTTTTATTTTTATACCGTTGAAAAAAAGAACCGAATCGATTTTGAGCGACACATCGCGCTTACGGATCCGACGGCGACGTCGACGATGAGTCGCGGATGAAGCATCGTCGTCGTGTGTGTGTATACAGAGATTTACGTATACGTGTATTGTAGCGCAAAACCGCAACTGCCGGGGCGGCTTCTGTTGCACAACTTTCTACCTCTATATTCCCTCTCTCGGCTCTCTTTCTCTCTGTGTGTCGATCGATGATGCGGAATTAGATGTGCTCTGAAAAACGAGGGGTATAGGTCAGCGAAAGCTCACATGATGCTGCCAACGATCGCTTGAGTCCTTTTCTCTCTCTCTCTCTTTTTCTTTCTCTGCTTTTGTTTTATTTATTTATTTTTTTTTATATTTGTAAAAACTCTTGTTTTTTTATGAAATGGACGGATACTCGTCAAAGTTTTCAATTTACGCTCGCCCTTGCCAATCGTATTTGTATATGTACACGTGGATATATGTGGCCAAATCCAGTGATATTTCAATATATTTTATGGATTCCCGCATGAGTCGTAAACAAATCATTTTACGTTTGAATTACGCCTTTTTTTGATCGAGTCAACATTTATAAATTATGTATGAAATTCACGCAAATTACCATTTAAAATGTCATTAAGTAAACGTTAAGCAGCTCATGTCATTTCAAAACTCGGCTTTACCTTATATAAAATCATATTTATTTTAACACTTGCAGGTTCGCTGATGAAGTTACTCGCCATCTGGTGGTGAAGACTCGAATTGCTATGTTGCTGGTTAAAAACTAGTCTAATTTTTTTGTCTTTAGTCCGTCATTCATATCAAGCATCTCTGTATAAGAGAAAAAATGTGTTTAATTTTATAGATTGCTCATGATTGTAAAATTCAATTCGTTCATTATTCAATTCTCAAGTTCGGATTGTAGAAAGGCTCCAATCGGGTCTTACACATTAGTGGGATTTTTTTTCAACTTCCTCGTTCGATAATAGCAAACAACTGTTCCTCGACGGGGAAAAAATTGTTCTTTAACAAGTGAAATCTAAAAATATCCCGAGATTTGCTCGTATTTTTTACGTACCCGAATGGCGCAGCATAAAACGAAAAAAGAGCCACGAGCTAGCTCGTGTATACACGGGCGTAATACAGAGCTGCAGCAGAAGCAGCAGGAAAAAAATAAAAAAAGGCACAAAAAACGCAAGTACATAGACGCGCGCGAAACTTGATACTTTTCGCGGTGCACGCATATCGGTGAAAAAAACAACAACGACCAATTTCTCCTCCTACTTTCGAATCGAAAAAGTAAAACAACGAGATTTCGCGAGTTTACACCTAGTAAAATGCAAATTTTTCACTCGACCGCTCTCGGGGTATCCATGCCGTTGCTCGCGCGCGAACTTTGACATTTGTTTTATCGGCCTCGCGAATCGATACGCGCGTGGTACATGAACGCGCTCATCCTCTCTATCTCTATATATACGTACAATCGACAAAAGCTTCTGCCCGCGCGCGGGGGGGAGGTATTAATGCATCGGGACGCGTCGCTTCGGACGACGTTGAGAGAGAACAAAGGGCCCCCCTCGCTCCCGAAATCGGCTCGGCTGAGCTAAACTAGACAATACCCTTTCGGTAGTACGGCATCGTGTAATCGCGTATACATCGGCTGTGTTCGGCCGCCGTGTGCACCGCCGCAACGATCTCTCCTCCGCGCGGTCTCGGGGCTATATATGTGTCAGTTTTCAGCCTCGGCATTGCTTTATACTACTTGGCATACCGCACACATCACGCTTGGCTTGGGAAAGCCTCGAGGGATGCAGCAGCTGCAGTAATACAACACTTCGTGGATATACATATGAATTATCAGTCACCAAATGAAGTCCTGAATTTTAGCTTAAATTTTGAGATATGGACGATTTGTTCGAGTGAACAAAAGAAAGATTATAGTTAATGATTTTTAAGGGGTGAATAAGTTAAGGAGTTGTTGCGAGGAGTTTTTAAAATAGAAGTTGAATATGATTTAAACTGATAGGTCATATATATATGGGTCAAAATAATACTTTTTTTTATAAAACCGTGCCACTTATGTCATTGATTAGGACGTGCTTTAGGTATGTTATAGCACATGGTAAAAAGGTCCCATAATAAAAATTTTAGACTCTTCCTACCCGCCACACCCCGCTATAAACGTCTATTTTCGATCTATATTTATTCTGAAGCCCTAAAGCAATTAAAAAATCTGAAAAACTTCATGAAGGTACATTTTAATGAAGAAAACGACCGTGAATTTTTTCAGATTTTTTGAGTGCTTCGGGCCTTTAGATAAAATTAAAAATTTTGAAAGTTCAGAAACGGCGATATGAACTAAGCTTTATCGCATTGTTCAAATAGGTGACATATTTTACGGACGAAAATTTAAAAAAGTATCATTTTGCCTTTTATACAATTTGAAGTATTCTTTCTTCAGTTAGTCGTGTGCTTATCAATGAAAAAATTAAAAATCGGTTTTTTAATTGATTTGTTTGAATGATATCTAAAATATTGCTACATTAAATAAGAACTGACATTAAAAAATACTAAATATATGCTTAAACGCCCATCACGAGGTTTGAATCGTAGCCACCAACAAAATATTGCACAAATCTTGGTTCGTCAAATTCTCGATGATCCTGTCGCAGCAGAGGATCGTCAGCCGACGGTACGTCGACTTCATGAAAGGTTCCAGCGCTCAGTCCTTGAAAAATCCTCTCAACAGTTTCTCGCACATGTGTACAACGGGAGCTCGATAAGACTTTTGAGAGAACTTTGGCGTTAGCCAGCGCACTTGCTTGAAGTAATTCGACAGGCTCGGCTTCGTCATCGACACTTTTGCTTTGCTCGTGAATTCCTCGTCATCGAGACAAAATTTCGTAGAATCGGTCGTCGGCGTCTCGAACACTTCGTGCTTGGCGAACAATTTCATGATCGTCAGCGCGTCGCTTCGGTCCAACTCGTATCCTCTCTTCTCAAGACTATCGACAACGGCCGGAGCGCAAAACGCTAGTTTCAGTTTGTGACGATAGTACGGGCTTAATCTTTCGCCGAAATAACTCTCGGTGGGGAAAACGAAGCTTTGGACGGATCGGCGCCGCGATTCAAGAGTAGCTCGACCACGCACGACAAGAGATTCGCCACGGCCCGGTGCAGCGGCGTAGGGTCCCGATTGTCCTTGGTATCTACCTCCTCCAGTTGATTCGATTCGTCGTTGATGTCGAAGAATACCTTCGCCGAGTCATCGTCATCCCAATAATCATCTCTCTCTTGCGGATAACGTGCAAAGGAGTCGATCCAACCGCATCGGCTAAGATCGGATCCACGCCGTTTATCAGCAGCGATCGCGCGTGCTTTTTATGGCCCCGCGACAGAGCCAAGTGCAACGGTGTCTTACCCCTGCACTTGTCGCGGGTGTCGACTCGAACCGACTGATTCGTTTCGCGGGCAGCCTCGAATAATAATACATCTACCAAATCACCGTCTGGGTTTAGTTTGCAAATATAGTGCAGAGGAGTCGATCCTCGTGCGTCGACCACATTCGGATCGCAGCTGTGTCTCAGCAGCGATTCAGCCGAGCTTCCGTGCCCGCCTCTCAGTGCCAAGTGCAGTGCGGCGAGTCGCCAAAATAACACAAAATTTTATATATTTTATGTCACTAATTAATGGTTAATGTATTCTATGTTACTCAATAGCCTGAAGAGGACTCGGAAATCGAGTCGAAACGTTGCTGAGAATAAAGAAATAACGTTTAAAAATAAACTTGCTCGCAAAGATCACTTAATAAGTCTTACCATTCACAATATTAATTTATTTATGAAAATCAATAAAATTTTTTTCACGAAAATCACTTGCTGCGGTCGATGCGATCACGTACGGATAGCACACGTGAGAAAATGTAAAAAAGTGTAAAAAATGTGACTTTATGCTGGTTTTTTATAATGCATTGTTAGTAATTTTACTTTTTTTTTTAATTTTGTTACATTTTTTAATTTAATTTGATAGTTTTAACTTCATTCGTCGGGTGGCCTCTTTTATTTACCGCACGCTCGGATAGGCTAGAACGCGCTCCGCTTCAAACTCTTACAACGCACGAAATACTTCGTCCGGAATACCTCTATACTTTCGATCCATGAGCAACAACAAAAAAGCGTACGCGTTGTCGAGTGCAGTTTACGAATTCGTTTATTGGTTTCGCATCCCGTTTATTTACAGCCTGTCTCAGATAATTGTATTCCGCTTTTCGTTCAATTTCCTTCATCAAAACGAGGGGATATTTCGAACGCGTAGACAATGTACATCTCGATGTACGTATCGAAAACGGCGTATATGGTCTGGGCCAGCTCCTCCGCGCTCCGGCACTGGAACAGAGCCGCTCCTCGTTTCTTCGTCATCTTTCGGTTCAACTTCGTCGGGTCGAGCGCGTAGTAACGCTCGTTGGAGCGAATTATCGCCACGGCGAGTCTGCGCTGCCTGTCACTCATGCGCAGCTCCAGAATGCCGTAGTCGGACTGCGGCCGGCCGTGGAAGTGCCGCTCGAGGCACGCAGCGAGAGCCGAGTTCCCGCACTTCCACGAGGCGGCTTGCGAGCACTGGAGCCGCCTCGTCTGCAGCCTGAGGTTCGAGCCCAGCAGCAGGCTGCGCGGCAGCACCCCGATGTCCAGGTAGAGGCCTACCGGAAGGTCGAACTGTCGCTGGCGCTCGGCGTGCAGCGCGGTGCCGTTGTTGATGATGTAGTCGAGGGTGCGCCCCGACCAGGTGATCGGCGACTGTATCCTCGCCAGGGCCAGCGCGACCAAGGCCATGCAGCTGCTCTGACTGCCCCTGATGCGCTTCTCAAGACGCTCCGAATTCAGATGCAACGACGCCACGAGTGCGCGCGGCCGGATCGTCCTTTCCTCCTCTTTCCCATTGACCATCACCTTGATCCGCCA